CGGTACACAATGGTTTTCTAACGGCTGGAAATATAATCCACTTGGAAAAACTCCGGTCATTCATCTTGAAGTTCTCAAGCAACACGGTTCGGTAATTTGGATAGCATAAGTGCTGTATATTTTAAGACGAGCAGATTGTGAGATATTTATGTCACTTTTTCAATATTTCCTCAATATTCGCGAGTCGGTCGTGGACCGAAAACCCATATCGGTGAAGTAGACTGGAATATCCATCTTTAACTTATCGCAAACCAGGCTATGGAATTATTCACCATCCAGACCTGGGGAGTCGGGTTATCTTGAACAGTTCTGATCTTCTCGAACACAGCCGTACCCGCTGAATCAGCCCGCCCGGCAGTCAGGGCTTTAGTAAGTCCTGCAGTACGGATTGATTAAAGAGGGACTAAAACGGCGGCGGGACAACTACAGTAACGAGTCCGCCGAGCGTCAACCGTCCCGGCTGAGAGGAACCCACGGCCGACAAAATACATTTCAAAACATTTCCCCGTCAGTAAGTCTCTTCACCGTCGCCACATGCCAAAAGGCGCGCATATGTACAGTTTATGATCTCAGCATGTCCTAAAAAGGACTCAAAAGGTTTGTCGTACTCTGTGTGAACTCTCTGCGTGTCTCCACAGTCCTCAGAGAGTCAGGTTTCCTGCCTGCGCGGCCATGGCCTCCACGTCTGCCGCCTCTAGTTGCTCTTTTGCAGGCGTTCCCGCGGGCACCGACTCGGCCTCGGGCAACCCGAGCACTCCCACCGGCCAGCAGCTGTCGACGTCCACTTGCGCCTGGATCTCCCGCAGATGATGCAAGTATGACGTGTGGCCCTTGACCCAGGGCGTGACGTCCACCTGGCAGACGTGATGACATACGTTGTTAGACTTCGGTCCTTTGCTTGCTGGATAGACCAGCAGCTGCTGCACTGCGCTAAACTCCGCTGTGGCATCGGATGATGGCTTGAACTCAAAAGTCCGATTTGAGGAAGACTTAGGGGCTACGTCAGGGAAGCAAGACATAAAGGCACGTGCCTCCTAAAAGCGACCGCGCTTTGAGGAGAGGAGTAACCAGTTCCATATAGTCAAACACAAGGAAAGCAACCGAGCAGCTTTGCACACTCGCTTTGTCGGAAGCTCCGCACCACAGGTGCGCAGACGAACCTTCAGCTAATTTGCAGCAAACCACTCGGAACTTGGCAACTCGCACTGCCCTCTTAACTTCGCAACTCAATTGAACTTCGAAGCATCGCACGCATTGGCAGACTGTCAGGCAGCGGAAGAACATCAGGCAGCAGTACTGACATTCTCGACGCCGGTGTGCGGGCACGGCTGGAGCCCCGCGATGGATGTGGTCATCAGGTTGGCCCGGTAGATCACCCCGAGCGTCCAGTCGTTGGTGGCGTACCCGTTCACCAGCCGCCCGGCGACCACCCCCCGGACGGTCTCCCACCGCTTCACATCGTGCGGCAGCGGCATGCCCAGCAGCACCGCGCGCTCCACGATGCCGCCTGCAACAGAGAAGAAGTATTGGCACGCAGACAGGAGAAATTGGATGACAAAGTGTTCTCCTCACAGGATTTGGTGGCAATCAGAACGCTCTGATTGAAGTCTGAGCGGCAGCGGCATGCCCAGCAGCACCGCACGCTCCATGATGCCGTTGCCGTTTGATGGTTGTTATTAGCACGCGGGGTTCCGAACGGTGAACTTGTGTCTCGCAATTGTAGCGGCGACCAAAACACGTTAGGTAAGCCGACTGGCCTCTTTCACTCAACGGGGACGGTTTCGATGGCTCGATCGGTCATGGCAGATGCGCAACAATCCGACCATGTTTTACAGATAGACCTCGACAGTTCCAGATAACCCAATGCCAGAAAGTGAATGCCGGGGTTAATTTTTACCGAGGAAAGCTTTCAGTCAACCGTTTACTGAGGACAGCTCTGTCATGGGGTCTGCTTCGAACGCCATGTCAACATCCATCGGACGGCACTCTACAGGTTTCAAACGCGGACAGCCCGCAGAGGGACGGCATGCAGCACGGCAACCAAAGCTTAGGACGCAACGTCGTATCATTCTGGCACCGACATCCGCCAGGCTGATCTGCAGGGTCCGGGAATTTTTTTGCGACCTTCACGTTCTGTGGAAGCAAGCGGCGGCCCCGCACGGCCATAAACGCAGAGCGCGGTCGCTCACCTGTGTCGCCGCGCCGCGCAAGCTCCTCGAGGCACGAGAAGACGACACGTGCCCCCAGCGACGCCCCGACCAGGGTCACCGGACGGTCCCCGTGGCTCCCGCTCAGGAGGGCGTCTGCCAGCAGAACCCCCGCTTTGTCCGCCCTGAACAGACGCACGAAGTTGCCGTCAGCGGTTGCGTGTCCAGCCAAACGCACAGTGTCGAGATGTTTCCTTCAAGAATAAGATTTGGAGAACCGTCTCTTAGATGATCGCACCGATCGTGTCTTCGGGCCTTCTCGACCAGATCACTTTCGTCTCTGCTTGAAGTAACTGCTGCACATATGAAACGTAGGACGAGAGTTATGGTGCAACCATCCAGTGTAGCGCCGTGTCATTGGCAGGTTCGATATGATGTGGACGCACGAAGAGGGAGGCGCGCGTGCGCACACCTGTTGATGACGACGGCCCACTTGTTCTCAATGCCGTTGAGCGCGCCCACGATGGCGGCGGGCCACGCGACAGCCAGCAGCAGGCCCTGCAGCACAGTCATCATGGCGCCCTTCTTCACGATCTCCGCAGTCAAATCTGCGACACAACGGAAAACAAGGCCTTCAGTCAAAGAGAAGACCTGCGGAGGCTGGTGTGAGAGGTTAGTAGCTACAGAAGAGCGGCACCTCTGCAATGCTCATGAGACCTACAGGCCACAAACAAGGGATCGGGCTTTGGAAGAGCCGGGGACAAGTATCTCGACGTTGAGGAAGCTCCTTCAGAAGTCAAACGGAGCCTTGGTTCCAGTCTACTTAAGAAACGGTCTGTTTCCATCTGGGGCCATTTGTGAATCATTACTTGCAACTGATAAAAGACCCGTGGTCTTCCCAGGCGTTCAAGACGGGTCAGCTGCAAAGTCTGGGCCGAACTCATTACCAATATTGCGCTTCGCACCCGAACCCAACCCTAAACACCAGGCCAACCCCACCCGTTCCCGGCCATGGCCTTTTTAAGTACCAGATCGTCAAGAGTGTGAAAGCTCATTTCTATGCACTCACTGGCCTTGATCCAGTCCTGCACGGCGGTGGCGACGGGGATGACCTCCTTGCTCTCCCATCGCACGACGAACCGCTCCAGGTCGCGGTCAGGAGCCTCCCACGCGCTGACGTAATCCTGGGGCTCGAAGCACACGCCAGCCACGTAGACGCCCACCGCCAAGCAGCCCTGCGAACGGATAGATTAAAACATCTTGGAATCTGCTACCAAGAACGTACTGAGTGGGATTTTTAGCCTTTGAGACATGCAGAATCCCTTTACGCTGCTCTGTTCAGGGACTGAAAAAAGTCGCGCTACTTTTTTATACAGGGCTTTCAGTCAGGTTGCAATTCGTAAGAGATCGCTTGTTAATGTCGCCGATCGCTAAGCAGAAGAGGACCTACGGGGATACTTTCCTGCAGTCGAACAACTGCAACTCCAGTTTGGCGTCCCTAAACCGCCAACTTCAAGTATTAACATTCGAGGGTAGCAGACCGCCCCTCACGATACGTACAGCTTCCAACCTGCCAAGTGCTCAGCGGTTCGCTAACAAAGGAGAACGTCGTTGACATCTCAGATATACTGAGGTCGCACCTGTTGGTGGTTCTCTCCGACGGGCTCGAACTGGAACTCGCTCACGTCCCCAACCCGCCGCGACATCCGGTAGCCACCCAGGCCAGCACCAGCGGCTACAACAATAGTATGTTACGTCAGCGCACTGTCTTACCAGTACAGCAATCGAGGCAGAAGGGCCTACAGTGAACGCTCCAACCTGTTGATTGAACTAGGCCCAGTGATCTTTTTAGCACGGATCCCACTTTTGATATAGGCTGGAAAAGGCTGTTGGTCGTTCTGTTCGGGTGTTCTTGTGTTCTCGTGCACACGCTGCGAAAGAACTCGCTCCGTTTGCCACCTCCTTATGTAAATCGCATTTTCCCGAGCTGTGGCCATTTTCCAACTGACTTTGGGAAGAAGCTGCGAGTTGAGCGCCTCACCTCCAAACGCCCCCGCCACGACTGCGGTGCCCGCAGTGGTCGTAGCCAAAGCGGCAGTCGCTGCCACGGACCCGGTCGTCAGAGCGGCAATACCAGCACCGATGGCTGGGGCAGCAAGGCCTGCAAACGGGATGGCTTTTAGACTTTAGTCGTCTGCTCTTCGACTTTTGATTTCCAAGAATCTGGTCTCGAAGGTTCGTGTAAAAAGGTGGTTTGAGACTGGCTCAAGCAGCTTAGGAAGCAGCCTAATCTTGAAGCGAAGTCACGTCTGCTCTAGTCATTCGAAAGGGATCGCCAGTTGGGTGATTGATGCAGACGACAAAAGCGAGTCCCTCGCTCTAAATTTAGTATGTTCAGTCACAAACTCCTCCTCGACATAGTTAACCAACTTTCGAAGTGGCAGAAATAAAACACAAGTTGACGTGTCTTTTCTGGCATCTTTGACCTTTTGAACTGAAAAGAAGGCGCAGAAATGTTGTCAGAGCCCATCAACCTCACGCTGTCTTGCGGAGTGGCCAATCAATAATCTCCAACGGCAAGAAAAAAACCCTCTTCATTGCACAACACGAATTTTTTCCCACCTCCGGTGACGGCCAGCAGCGCTCCGCCTGCTACTGCTGCCCCGCCGACGTACATGTTGCGCTTCCACTTGGCCCAGCTCTTGCGGTTCTTCTCGGACTCAGCGTCCTCCTCTCTTTCCTTCTCCAGCATCTCCCGCCGCGCAGTCTCTGCCGCCAGCGCCGCGTGAGCCACCACCACCTCCAGCTCAGTCTGCGCAGAGAGAGCGAGCAATCTGTGAACTCCAATGAAATCTGGTGATTGGTGTTTTTACTTGACTTTGCAGAGTCAATATGGTCTGTGAGAACAAGCTGGCCGGCAACCTGATATGATGGCAGAATAGTTGCTGACATCAAAGATGAACTGTAGCACAGACTTCGAGAATGTTTGACGAGAGGGATAGACCAATTGCAAGCATGGTATCTCGCTTCCTACTACTTACAATCGTTCCGGGAAAAGGGACTTATATTCATCAAGTCTTCTGAGAGGGCACTGCCGGCGCCCTGCTCGGCAAACTTGCGCGTCATCGAGCACGCAGCCTGTGTTGGCGCCTCACCACTTTCTTCCAGGGCAGGTCGAGCCACTCCGCCAGGAAGCGCAGGGCTACCCGCTGCCGTGCATCATACCCCGGCCGCTTGTGCACCTTGCCGCCCTTCTTGCCGTAGTCCAATCCGTCCGACACGGCAGCGTAGAGCAGCTCATAAACAACCGCTACAGTGCGTTGAGGAGACAACTTGGGCGCGTCTGGGGGGAGCATGCAATGTTTGGGCTTTCTGGGAACAGGAGCGCTTGTGCTGGGGGCGTCGTCGGGATTCGTGGGCGTTTCGCCTTGTGTCGTGGAAGTTTTTTGGGGCTCTGATTTTGTTTCTTGAGGAGCTTCTGGGCTGTCCTGAAATACAGCGGTGCTTGGCGAGGGCGAAGTATGTTGCATCGCAGTCAGGCGGTCCAGTGCCTGTTGGCTGACAGTCTTGTCAACGTTGAGGGGGGCCGAGCGCGCAGACAATTGCGCAGGCGATTTGTCACTGCACGGAGGAGACAGCTGTATCAGATGGACACTTTCTCACTCCCTCCTTGGCAACAGGAGCAACTTGATTTATCGAGTAGAGAGTAGACAGGAGGTCGATGACACAGCAAACAAAGATGTACCCTTCCGTCGCTTGGAAATCGTCATGTGGGCTCTTATGGGCTGTGAGAATGGTCTGCAGGTGGGTGCCCAGGAAGCAAGGGCAGACGCCACCATCCTGGATCACGGCGATCTACGCAGGGAGAAGGGCGCAATCCGCTTGATGGTTCAAAACCAGTCTTAAGCAAAGACAGATTCTAATTACACAAGGGCTTACTCGTTTACAGCTTATCTACGACTCTGAACAAATAGATCTCAGAGTTTAGAACCACAGAAACTCTAGCGGAGATCGCCTCACTCTGTCACTGTGTCCTCCACCTTCTGCCCTGACAGCTCCAGCGCTGCTTTGCCAGGGCTTTTGTCATCCTCAGCCCCAGAATTGCTGCCCTCCCCTTCTTTCAAAACATGCAAGAACTGCACGAGGGGAGGCGCCCAACAGTTTGCCCAACGAACATAGAAGGGGCATTTGTAGTCTGCCTCAGCTAATCTGTACATTCCCCTTTCTACTCTCCTATCCCTCGGTGTCATCAAAGACATTTGCAAACGATATTTGGATTGATCTACTCAAAAGTTGTCCGGGCCGTAGATCTATCATTCATTCACTGTATACACAAAAATCTCTTCCAGCGAAGGACTCTCTCTTGAACTCAAAGCCAGTCCCAAGCAATTTTCTAACGGTGGGCACAGACTCAGCGAGCTCTAGGAGTAGCAAACAGAGCTAGATCTCCTCCAAACCCTCTTTGCTGAAATGAAAACCTCTCTTCGCTGAATGGTCCAGAGCGACCCTCACAGCAGATACTTGCAACTTTGTGTCTGGTGTTTGTCCCAGGCGCTCCAGGCTGGACCAGCGGTCCTCCTCAATCAGTAAGCATCTGTAAGAAGGGACCAATCTTCTTCTGAGGTCCGGGACATCAACAATTTTGGAAAAAACCCTTATGCAATGTGCCCCACAGCCTATAAACTCCAAGCAATTCCTTGTTGCTTGCAATTGTATAACATCGCAATTGAGCAATGGGGAAGCCCCCATCAGCAGCCGCTTCGTTAAGCAGATACGAGAAAACACTCTGTAATCAGACTGATGCATGCATGCACATGCCAGAACTCCCTCAGGACTTCTCATTGCAGGAACCCCCTTCCATACCACCAGATAAATCATAGCATTGCTTCAGAACTGGGGCATAGTCTTGCCTGCATGTGTTCTCCAGAATGCCACACTCTTGGCTGCACCAGGAAAAGTCACCGGCCCTAGCCGTCTCCTTCAAGGCCCATTCCTCCTTCTCCTCAAGCTCAAGCTCCCCTTTCCTTGCTCTCTGCGCTTCTCTTAGCGCGAGTGCAAGCAAGGCCGCCGCTGCATAGCGATCGGAGCTGGTGAGGCTGCCAGCCATGGCAATTGGCGAGCAGGGGCAATCCGATCAGGCTCCAGAGGAGAGTAGGTATTGCAAGCTAGCGGGTCTACAAGGGCCAAGGCTCCACAGCTAGATCGCAAGCTTCTGAGGGCGGTCGCCTTGCCATACGGCGCTTGTGTTGAACACCACAACCAAAACCCTAATTTGGAACCTGACGCAAGGCGACCAAGGAAGAGCCGTGTGGTGACGCTTCGGAGACGTTACCCCCCCTTAGCACACCCTCGAGCTCTCGAGGTGTGCTCAGCTCATCGTGAACCGTTGCCGCTGCCGACCGTCTGTCGCCCATTCCTTGGCTTCTCCAGTCACACTCACAGAGTCGGCATTCAACTCGGACTTGAAACGTGGAAGTCGCTTTCTGCACTCGAAAAGCATATTCTCCAGATTGCAGGGCGCTTGTTGAAGAAGAAATTGTGGGGGCATCAAGAGCTGTGGTCATTCTGGTCACCGCTTTGCTTGCGCGTCTTTAGACAATCATGACCATGGCGGGGACGTCGGACTCTTTGTCTGGGCTGGCCCTTGATGGTGGTAAGTGCTCTACGTCTATGTTTAGACAGACTGCATTCTGCAGGTTGCCAACTTTTCCTGAATGAATACGTTGCTAGAACCCCACAAAGAATCCCTTGGCATTGTATGATGTCCAAGTCACCTGGCTTACACTGGATTTGATAACTTTCAATTGTTGAAATTGACGCGTTTGCTTGTTGCTGCTGCTGCTATCATAGATGCGGTGGAGTGGCCCGCCCGGCGCGTCCGCCAGCAATTCCTGGACTTCTTCAAGTCCAAGGGCCATGTCATTGTCGATTCTAGCCCCGTCGTGCCGCACGACGACCCCACTCTCCTCTTCGCCAATGCTGGTAAGGAGCGTGCAATGGACTTCTGTGCGTTCGCTGCTTAAGGCTCTTTCCGGCGGGTGGCTAGTCCAGCTTTCAGCCAATTGTTGCTCGTCACAGGGAGTTCCATACTCTTTGCTTTGATAGGCTGCAAACACGACGGGATGTTTGGCTCGAGTGTTAGTACACAGGTTGTGGTCAATAAACTTGTGTGTCACGAGATTGTTTGGCTCCTGCTTATCTTTGACTTTGCTGCAGGGATGAACCAGTTCAAGTCCATCTTTTTGGGGACGGTGGACCCCAAGAGCCAGCTTGCAAAGTTGAAAAGAGCTGCCGACACACAGAAGTGCATCCGTGCTGGGGGTAAGGAAGTCGATAATGCTCAGAAGGCTGAACAGGCCCAGTCGTGATTCCTTGAAATCTTCCAAACCTGCTTCTGCTGTGCTATACGTGCGCGTTCTGGGGAATGAATATGGCAGCGGACGGCAGCACTTAGAAAATTTGTTCCAATATCTGACGAGGGCATCGGGGACCCCTCCCCTTTTGCGGTGAATTCAGCAGTGGTGGCCACAAGCAGTGCCACCAGAGACTGTCGATCTTATCTCCACTTAGGTTGCAGGAAGAGCTTCTGGGCATGGGAAACATTGCGGCAGGAAAAAACTTGCTGATCAGAGGAAGCCTCGCAATCCTCTTTCAGTACCTCACAGAATCTTTCGCATCCTTCAGGCAAGCACAACGATCTGGACGACGTGGGCAAGGACACGTACCACCACACCTTCTTTGAGATGCTGGGCAACTGGTCGTTTGGGGACTACTTCAAGGAGGAGGCCATTGGCTGGGCCTGGGAGCTGCTGACTGAGGTGAACAGGCAAACGTTCCGACTTTGCCCTACCTTCAGTTACAGCATCTTCTTCACTTTGATTTGCATCATGAGCGTGATCCTGAGAAAAGTGGCAGCTTTGTTTCCGGTCCGTTCCAAAACAGCCATTGGAAATTTCACTCTTCACAGGGCAGCCTGCGTTGTTTCATCCGTTGGAAGGGTCAGACAGTCGGACTCCTTAGAAGTTGCATAGATTTGGAAAAGGGCAGAATGGTTCAGACCAAAAACAAAAGCGTGCGGAAAGCAATTGTAGTAGCACTGATCTCTGAAGCACCAGAGCCCTGGCGCTTGTCAATCACAGGGTGAACAAGAGTCTCAGTGGCTGTGGCTGCCCACTGACGTTTGCGATTGGAAGGCAAAAGCAGTCTTTTGAGCTACTTATTGAAGGACACTTTCCTTGGCACTGTGCAGAGGCGCCCGGATGAGTAAAAGGCAAGCAGAGCGTAGTTTGGTGTGTCTGTCTATACTCCGTGTGGCTCATCTGCAGCTGTTTCTGTGTAGGTGTACAAGCTGCCCACGGCGCAGCTGTATGCGACCTACTTTGGCGGCGATGCGAAGCTGGGGCTGGACCCGGACCTGGAGGCCAAAAACATCTGGCTCAAGTACCTGCCGGAGAGCCGAGTGCTGCCCTTTGGTTGCAAGGTGAGGTGGCGCGGCCGGGCTTGCGTAAACTGCCAGCAAACGCGTCCTACGTAAGCTTTCAGTGCTTTCTCCCTGCTTTCAGTGCTTTGTCACGTTTGCTGACGTTCACAAACGAGCGCTTGCAAACGGCTGAGCCATACGAGGACAGTCCCAGAATTCTGGACCCGACAGGGGGCAGAGTTTGTATTCTTTCGATTCCACTATTGACCTTTTCTCTCACATCGTGAATGTCCGGCGTCTTACATCACTTGCGATATGCCCTGTATACTCGAGCCTGATTTCCATTTGCTTGCTTTTTCAGGACAACTTTTGGGAGATGGGCGACCAGGGCCCTTGCGGCCCGTGCACCGAGATCCACTTCGATCGCTTGGGGGGCAGGGACGCCGCAGCGCTTGTAAACGATGACGACCCGACGTGCATCGAGATCTGGAACAATGTGTTCATCCAAGTGAGCTGCACCGCGCAAGTTTCGTTTTGTTGTGTGTCAAGGTCTGTGCTGAGGGACGGATGCCGTCTCAACTAAGACCTTGCAAGGCAAGGTTCATTTTGTGCCTTTCCCAGGTTGCGATTCTAAAGGTCTCCTGCGAAATAGTAGAAGAAAGTATTTGGCAATTTATCCACTCATACTCAAGTAGGTATACCGTCTTCTCTCGTCACTTATTGCATCCAACTTTGCATCTCGTCATTCCCAACAATCTGTTTGACTCGAGCGCTGAATAATGGAGCACTATTCAAGCTCCAGAAGCTTTGGGCTGGTACACGGTTTTTGCAGGGGGTAGCAGTCGACTGGGGATTGAAAGCCGTTCTTGTGTTGTTGCAGTTCAACCGCGAGGCTGACGGGTCGCTGACGTCCCTCCCCGCCAAGCACGTGGACACGGGGATGGGCTTTGAGCGCATCACGTCGATCCTGCAGCGCAAGCTCAGCAACTATGACACTGACGTCTTCATGCCCATCTTTAAGAGAATACAGGAGGTAAGCCCGGTGTCAAATATGCCCAAAAGGCCATGAAGAACGATTGTGAGATTACCCTGAGTTGCCCATCACCCGTCTCGTGCTGGGGCGTTGCGATCGCCTAATGGCCATCGTCATGCCTCTTCTTTCGATATTCCTGGCCGGTTTCATCCAAGGTAGCGGGCTGTATTGTATATTTGCTGGGCGCTCTTCATCAAAGTCAGATAGGATTGCACTCCAAACCTAACGGTTTGCTGAAAATTAACGCACAGACGATGATTTCTTTCCTTATCAGCAGGCATCACGCTCAAAGTGCTGAGCGCTCACACAGGATTGCGCAGTAAAGGACCCACGTGTTCTTGCGTGAAAGGATCCCTTCGCTCAAATCGTCCGCCGTGTGTCTTGCCAGTTGACGGGCGCCCGCCCGTACTCGGGCAAGCTCGGCGCGGACGACGCGGACAACGTGGACATGGCGTACCGCGTGGTGGCGGACCACATCCGGACGCTGTCCTTTGCCATTGCGGACGGCGCGCGCCCCGGGAGCGAGGGCCGCGAGTACGTCTTGCGGCGCATTCTGCGGCGCGCGGTGCGCTACGGGCGCGAGGTGCTGCACGGGCGGGAGGGCTTTTTCAGCGCGCTCGTGCCGATCGTGCCGGAGGTCATGGGCGACGTGTTCCCGGAGCTGCGGAAGAACCAGGCCAAGATCGCGGAGATCATTGCGGAGGAGGAGACGAGCTTTGGGAAGACGCTCAAGTCGGTGAGGAACGGCGGAGCACTTGAGTCGGGCGTTGTGAAATGTGAAGTCTTCCAGTAGGATTGGTAGCAAGGAGGATGCTTTTAAGAAGCGATTTCGGGTGTTGAGAAACCTTTCGGCCAGTGGACTGGCTGATTGCCTGTGGCAGGGTTTGCATAGCAAATTGGCGGGATGCCTTCTTTCCTGACTCTTCTGGGGATCGTCGGACTTTTGTTGTGCTGTCAGCTCAGTGCAAAGTGAAAAGAGTGCTCAATTCTCGCCTCCGTCCGCTTGTTTATCACCTCTCTGCGATTTTCAAGTGAGGACCAAACTTTTGTGTGCAGGGAACGGAAAAGTTCAAGAAGATTGCGGCAGACTGCAAGGGCGGCGTCATCAGCGGGCGCGACGTGTTCCTGCTCTGGGACACTTTCGGCTTCCCTGCCGACCTGACAGAGGTCAGCTCCGCCTGCCGTTCAAGCGGGAATTGCAGTTTAGCTCAAATTAGCTCTTATCCAGTCAAAAAATGGACGTGCAGACTTTCTGAAATGCCCGCTACTAGGTCCTCGTAAAAGGATTCGGCTTGCGATTGAGATCGGCTATTTTGGAGAACATCTGCATATGTTGAGGGTACAACAACTAAGTTACTTGTCCAAGGAAGCCATAATACGAGTTTCATAGGTCTGAATACGAGGCGCCAAGACTAGTAATGCTTTTTACCTCATTACCTTCTGGCAAGAGCGCTGATTATACTTCCTGCTTGCGCTGCGCCCAGCTGATGGCGGAGGAGGAGCATCTGACAATCGACAAGCCGGGCTTTGAGGCGGCCATGACGGCGGCGCGCGAGCTGTCCCGGGGCGCCCGTGGCAAGGGCGGGGCCGCGACCATGGTGCTGGATGCGGCGGCCACAGACGCGCTGCAGAAGCGCGGGGTGCAGCCCACCAACGACAAGGCCAAGTACGGGCCGGACAAGGTGAGGAATTTAGACGGGCGACTACAAAGTCTGTAGTTGCTTTCCTGCAGTGGCCGTCAGGTCGTTTACTATAGCTTCCATGAAAGGATACTTTACGCTTCAAGTTTCAAGCTTCTGTGGTGGGTTTGGAGTCGGATGGGAACACCGAGTTTTGAATCCTGAGGTGATCATAATCCGCTAATTGTAAAGGGAGGAGAACAACGAAATTGTCAGATTTGAGCGTGACACTGTCGTGGAATGAGGTTCAGATTGTGGCAGACCTGGCGAACCCTTTCAAGGTGCGTCCTCGCAGTGTACATCACGATGATGGTAAGTTTCTAGACAGCCGCCACCCTTCGCAACGACCCTTTCTCGTAGCGACTTGTCCGCTGTCTCTTACTGCTCGCTGACGTCATCTCGATTTGAGCCTGCTTCGCAGGACCATCCCACCCGCATTGAGGCCATTTACATGGGCCGCGAGTGGGTGGAGAGCATCTCCGGCGACGATGGCGATGTGGGCATCGTCCTGGAGTCCACGTCATTCTATGCGGAGGCCGGAGGCCAGGTAAGCAAACGGGAATACGAGTCCTGGGCTATGTAGTTTGGCTGTTCCAGGTGACGTCAGCAGCGTGCGCCAATTTCGCAGACGGGACCTGCTACAAGTTACAAAGACGCCATAGCAGCAGAAAACGTTGTAATGCCGTGCACATTCTGCGAGGAGCTTATTTTGTTGTTGATACGTCAACATCGAAAAGGAAATTGTTTTACAAGGAAGTGAGCTTAGTAGGAAGACGTGCAGAAAACGTAAGTGCTTATGTTCAGACCTGCGTCGTTGCAGACCTTCGATACGGGCCGGCTGGAGACGGCCGGCGGTGCGGTCGAGGTGGCGAATGTACAGTCGTTTGCGGGCTTTGTGCTGCACATCGGCAGGCTGGAAAAAGGGCGCGTCGCTGTCGGAGACGCAGTCACGGCAAAGGTACGTTGGAAGCACCGGGATCGGGCACTAGGAGTCCGTGTCGTATGCCTCTAGTGTGCTGCACTTTCGCGGGCTCTCCAAATTGAGTACCCGTCTCGTAGTCTGCCTGTTCTTCGGAAGACGTGAAAGCGGCGAAAGCAGGACCGTGCCTGTCTTCAAGTACGAGTAACCCGCATACGCCGTGTCTCGCAGGTTGATTATGTGAGGCGGTCAAAGGTGGTTCCCAACCACACGTCTACGCATCTACTCAACTTCGCTTTGAAGGTTAGTCCAAGGCATGACAATTCCAGCCCATCTTCGTCATTGCCGGAGAAGCGCGTTGTGTTTGTGCACACTTCCACGAAGTGTTCGTCGTCTGGATGCACTGTCTTTTCCACGAGTGTGTCTCCTTCGCATCGAGCCGGAAGGTGCTCCTAGGAATACTTGTTTCGACGGCACGAGGAGGAGCTGAATTCCTAAGCCTGCTGTGCGCAGGAGGTTCTGGGTGACCATATCGACCAGAAGGGCTCGCTTGTTGCACCCGACCGGTTGCGCTTTGACTTCTCGCACGGTAAGCTATGCTACCGTCCACAGCAGCTCTGCAATTTAGTCACCTTTTCATCCCTTGGTTGAGAGCTCTTTCGGTTGTTTCCCAACGGGTGCTGCTTGACCATCTGCTCGTTGTCGATAGAACAATGAACGAACCTGCATTTCGGCTTCAGCATCTCGTTTGTTGCTCTTTCACGATGACGCTGTTTTGCAGATTCTTTCAAAAAAATCAGGAAGATTAGATGTGCTGCCTGACACCAGAATGTGCCGCCTGCAGGGAAGGGCGTGGCAGCGAAAGAGTTGGGCAAGATTGAGGCCATCGTCCGGAAACAGATTGGAGACGCGTTGCCCGTGTATGCCAAGGAGGCCCCGCTGGCTGACGCCAGGAAGATCGTGGGCCTGCGCGCCGTGTTTGGAGAGGTGAGCACCCAGCAGGAACAGGGCCCAGCGTTTACACCAGCGCTGAAGATGTACTTTGTTCAAGTTTGTTCAGGGGACAGCCGGGCTGGACACAGCGGTGGTGCCACGGCAGGGATTAAGGATAGATTCTTTTGTCCGTAAGATCCACGAGTCATCAGGACGGAAGCAGATGTTGATACACGGCTGGACTCAATCACTCGGCCACCGGTATCCTATTGATCGCTCTTCTGCTTTCTTCAATCATGAGTCCCAGCTGCTATAGTGCATGCTTGTTCAATGGGCATCTTTTCGGTTTCCTTCGGATCGGGTCGTCCCTCATCTTTGAAGCCCTGCCGTCCGTGTTGCAGACGTACCCCGACCCCGTCCGTGTGGTGACCATCGGACGTCCGGTGGAGGACCTATTGGCGGACCCGGGCAACCAGGCCTGGGCCGCCCTCTCCACCGAGTTCTGCGGAGGTCAGCTGCTGTTTCGGCTAGCCCCACCCTTTTAGCCAACAGCTTCGGACAGAGCCTGTTTACAACTCCGCCTATCGCTGAGTGTTCCTGGCCAACAAGAAGTTGTGGGTCGCTTTCATGTCTTTGGAACGCGTTGCTAACGGAGGCCTGTTACGGTCTTCATGGGGCTGAGGTCGAACTGAAAATGCCTGAATTGAGGCGTCCTCGGAGGCCGCCTCCGAACGAGGGCCTCTGTGCTCAATCGGACGGTTTTACAGTCGGATCTCAACCCGCAGTCTGGCCTCAGACTTGTGGCTTAGGAAGCACTCTGTTGACCTGAAGAAGGTATGAAGAAAATCTTCCTTGCAAGTTTTTCCTTGCGAAGCATCATTTCAGCGCAGCTGCTACGGAAGATTGTGGTCCCTTCAAGTCAACACACGCATTACTCTCGCACAGGGACGCACCTGGGCAACACTCGCGAGGCGGAGGCGTTCGCCCTGGTGTCCGAGGAGGCGGTGGCCAAGGGCGTGCGCCGCGTGATCGCCGTGACCAAGGACGAGGCCGTGGCGGCCATTAAGAATGGAACCGACCTCGACGCCAGGATGGCAGCCGCCGCGCAGCTCAAGGGGCCGGAACTGGAAAAGGTGGGGCGTGCCACTTGTTCGTCGTTTCTTTGCGATCCTGAGGTTGAATGCAGGCGCTGAAGCGGCAGTCTCGTGTTTTGAAGGCGAGGGTACCTTTCTTGGCCCTGTGTTTTTCAGAGTCGAGGAAAGAGCTGGACCGTCGCTTGATGGCCAAATACTCGGGATGTTTCAGAGACGGTTTGAGCCGGGCGCTTGATGGCGAGTCTCAACAGCGTATGAATTAGGCTGAAGTCCGTCGCAACTCGTTGGGTATATGCGAAATGCTTGCGGCGACTCGCGAATTTGTGGAGAAGGATTGTTCCTCGTCCCTGCAATTTTACTTGCTGTGGTTTAGGACTACAGATTGAAGTACGCGTGTCGCGGCTGTGCAGGAGGTGGCCGCTTTGAAGGGCGCGCTGGACGCCGTCGTGCTGCCTGCCGCCCACAAGGCGGAGCTCAAGGACACGCTCGCCAAGCTGGTGGTGAGGTTTTATCTCCCGAAATTTGCATCGCTTATTTCTCGGTCCTGATTCTAGGCCGTAGCATGCGTCGAGCTTGTCAGCGCGACTCGTTGTTTGCAAGACGGTCGAAGGAGCTGGAAACAGCTGCAGCGTCAGCATGCCCCGCCCTTGCGACCAGCAGACAGTCTGCGTATATGCCGTCTGCTAGTGCGTCTCCTTTCCTTAGCATCCCGTTCGCTTACGATGTTGCAAGCGATTGGCTGGGCCAGCCTCTTCTCTTCTCTAGTCTAGTCTTCACATCAGTAACTTTTAAGGTCTCTTGCATGCAGTCACGAGTGGCGGCTGCCCAGAAGGAGGCCGCACGTGCGAGTTTGCGTGCCGCGGTGGATACGGCGGTCGGGGCGGCAGATGCGGCGGCCGCCGAGGGGCGGCGGTTCAGCATCATCCGGTTAGAAGTCCCCGTGGACGCGCTCGTGCTGCGGGAGGCGACCACCACCATCGTCAACAAGCACAAGGTGGGCTGCACGGGTCGCTAGAAAAGCGTGTTCGCAATGGGCTGTGCTGGGGACAAGTTTCTTTGAGGCTCGAACCTGCACAAGTTGCATTGTTCCGAGGGGAGAGAAGCTTGAGATGTGGTTCGAAGTATGCTTTTACAGCTTGAGGGGGAAGGGAACTCGTTTTGCAGAGGAGCCGGCAGGGCAGGCTTGGAACCCAGTTTGACCAGACGAACCTTACAGCGTTGAACTTGGCAATTGGTACGAAAGGATGATCAGTCATTATGCTCACCTAAGCGCGGCTGACCAGTTTCATCCTAGTGGCACAGATCTAGTGTTTCTGACGGCAGTCCCCTTGTTCGCGCAGGAGCTGGCGGTGCTGCTGGTGGGCGTGGACGACAAGGGCAAGGTGGTGCTCTACGCGGGCGTGCCCGATGCGGTGCAGGCGCGCGGCCTCGCAGCTCTGGACTGGCTGCGCGCGGCGCTGCCGGCGGTGTCGGGCAAGGGCGGAGGCAAGGGGGCAATGGTCACCGGCCAGGTAAGGTTTCCCCTGACACTAAAGCGGAAGCCTTGATTTTTGCGCTTGAAACCTTGAGAAAGAGACCGACCTTCGTTTCGAGCCCTTTTTGCTTTGAGCATGGAGGTTTGCAATCTGCGCTTTTGCTGTGAGCTTGCTTCGAGCTCGCTTTGAGCGTACCTTGGTTTTTGGTTTGCAACTTGCGCTGTCGAAAAGATTGGAGGTCTAACAAGGGGCGACTGTGGTACAGGGCACGAACGTCGCCGGAATCAGCGAAGCCATGTCTGTGGCGACCCAGTTCGCCGAGGACAAGCTCTTAAAGTAAGGTTGAGGGCCCGTAGGTCCCCGATCGGAAGTTCGACGAAGGTTCCTGAACTTGCACCTCTCTTTCTGCAATATGGATGTCACGGGATTGTCCAAGATGGTCATGAGTCAGAGCGGTTTAGGATAGTGTCGAGCCAACGGGTTTGCACGCATAGTTTCCCTGAGAATTTGCAGGGCGCAGACAACTCTTCCAAGATTCCGATAGTGGTGTGTGATCATAAATTGACGCTGACACAAGGCAGTTTGCACCAAGGTCGAACTTTGTCCTCATGAGGGGATCAAGCTGATCAAAAGTCACGATGGTTTTGACGTGGACATCGTTACTAAGTTGCTCTAAGTTACCGTTCCCATCGACTATGTTCTTTTCTTGATTGATTGCCCCATTGAACCAATATGTAGCGCTGGCAATCCATGAGGTTTCAACGCGTGCGTTTGCGCGCACGCCCCTTGGGCCTCGGCTTTCAGAATGGTAGGACCTGGGCCGGAATAACATGAAGGCGTTTGTAGCGTTATTGAGTACTACGTATGCAGTTGCACTCTCATAGACGCACTTTGTTCTACACTCAATCAACATGGTCACGCGAGCTGTGCTGAGCGCCACGGATTGATTCAATCAGTTGGGGATATACTTCGAAAGCAGATTACATATAGCTAATAGCTGTAGATGAATGAGGAGCGTAGCTTGAATAGATTTCTACAATGATTTAGTATCCACGTATGATAAGACACGTGATTGAGTATATAAAACCTAGTACGTTTTAATTTAAGGAGAGATCGTACGTGTATCAGAACATTAACGATGTGTTATAGGTTGCAACCTGTATAGCTCGAAAGCGCGCAGCCGCCACATGCTGTATGCAGGCTAGCTAGGCGAATCCGAGTCGAGGCTAAATGATCGTTCACAGTGACGGCCGCGATCCGCGTGAGTCCGCGACTAAACTCAGTCACAGCTATAATGATCGCGCCCGAGCGCGCTCGATTCCGTCGCGCGCTGCGGGTCGCGCGGCCGCCGGGCAGCGGTGCTTTACACCATTAAACCGGCGCTGACGAAGCCTTTGATTATTGAGATGCCTTCCTTTATCGACGTTTACAAGCAGCGGCACGTCGCGCAGCTTTTCATCGGACGGTGCTGCTTGGGCCGCGTCGGCCAAATATTTGCTTTCTGGCCACCCGCTTGCACTTTTTCACTTTTTGGGGTGAACTTCAGAAGCTGACAGGTGTCAACCACACACTTTTTAGGAACTCACACGTGACAAGACAAATGCAGAGGCCATCGACGTGTTCAGCAAGGGTGCAATCTGGGTCCATGGAAGCAATCGCCGCCATTGAACCGTCCAACGCCCGCGCCAGTCTCAAACGACGGTTTTGAAGAATCGTGCATTGCGCGGGCTGCTTGTCGCGACATTGCTAGAGTCCGGCTAGGACTCGACTAGCTGTAGATCAGAGATCTGACACTGGACATTGCACCAATGCGGCCACCAATGCAGAAATCAAATCAAACTGCCAGAGCTTTCGTAGGTTTATAAGCGTATCTGCATTTTCCGTATTCTTATTCCAACACGCACGATCTTCTCTTCCTTCCACATCCTCCTGCGCCTCCAGCCTTTCTGCCCACGGAACAACATCTTCGCAGCCACTTGTTATCATGGCTTCCACAATCGCCGCTCGCGCCGCCACATCTCTTCAGCTGGTTGCCCCTGCTCAAGTGGGCCAGCTGTCCTCTAACAGCAGCATTGCCTCTGCCGCCCCGCTGCTGAGCGCCCGCCAGCGCTCCTGCGCAGCCGCCTCCACCAGTGGCTATGCGCTGTTGACAGTGACCGCAATTTTTGGCACCGGCAAGAGGGCAGCGGTGAGTCATCAAAACACTCCGACGGGTGGTTGTGATGCAAGGACATTTCTCAAAGGCTGGTCTTCCAGATGCTCAATTCGGATTGCACTGAGATGGCATACTCGAAGGCAGCCGAGAGATTCAGAGCCATGGCGAGAAGAGTTGGTCAAGCTGAAAGACCAATAAATATGTTGGAGAGGGGCATTGCAAGGGCAAAGCATGGGTAATGCACTTGTTTATTGAAAATTGAGCTCCACAGTTCCTAGAATGGTGGCCCAGGGTTGGTTAGAGGTGGTAAACTGGGCCGGGTACATGTTGTGCATTACTCAGTGCACTCTGTTCAGCTGGCCACCCGTCATTGCTTGCATTTACAGAAAACGCGTGGGGAGATTGTCAGTCAGCAGTACCTTACCAGGTTGTTCAATTGCTGTGCAGGCCAAGGCAACCAGGTCCGTTAAGTCTGCTGCCAAGGGGGCAGCCAAGCTCACCAAGGGAGGGGTAAGTGTAATATTTCATGAAGTGCCAGCCAATTACAGGTCAACAATGATTCCAGTGCTTGGCCACAAGCTTGCGCATTTGACTGTCAACTGCAATGTGTATAGTAGCTGGTTTTGTCTAGTTGTTCTGTCATATCCTGGAAAAGAACACGCATTCTAACCTGTCATTTCATTGCTCGTGCGTGCAGAATGTGGAGAGCGGCATTTTCGGCACCTCTGGTTCCACTGGCTTCACCAAGGAGAATGAGGTCTTTGTGGGCAGGGTGGCCATGCTCGGCTTTGCGGTGAGACAGCACCCTTTCATCCACTGCCAGGCCGGCACACCTCCTGACAGTCCAGTCTTTGCAGAATTGAGCACTGGCCAGCCAATCTGTAGCTATTCTGGCACAATGTGTAGATCAAGCTCGTCATGTTGCTTTTGAATGGGTAGTAACAGCCACACTAATGTCAACACTTGAAAGATGCAAGCGTGCGGAGATGTCCGTTGCAATAGGCAAGACTCTAAAAGGCGAGTCGTTTTGCGCAAAGGATTTGGAGAAGCGAGTAGAAAGTCTGGCAACCTTCGATATGAGTGCCGGTGGCCTAACCATTTTTCTGTGTACGCAGGCGTCCTTGGTTGGGGAGCTGGTGACTGGGCAAGGAATTCTGAACCAGCTCGGCTACGAAACTGGGATCCCCCTTAACGAGATTGACCCCCTCATCGGCTTCTTCCTGCTCTTCAACGTCTTCATTGCCATCGGGGTGAGCTGGCAGTCGACTTACGATGCTACAAGACTGGTGATGCGCCAATCAACGTGCAATCACCGAAGGCTGTTTGAACATTCAGAGCTCAGAAACGTTGTGCGCTCTGATTGGTGTCAGACGTTGTAAGATGCAGCTCAACCTCGATGATGCCACTACCGTCAAAGGCAGAAGACGACTACCAAAATGATCGTGGGCGACTTTCAAAATCAGTCTGGTCAGTGTGCCCAAGTTGATCCCTCGCTAACGCCTCGAAGCTAAGCAGGAACTAAAATACTTAATCCACAGCTTGTGTCTAAGTTAATTTGTAATCGTGCAGGCTCTAGGAGACCGCGGCCGTTTCATCGACGAGACGAAGCCCGCCCTGGCCAAGGCGGTCATCCAGCCCGGCAAGGGCTTCAAGGCGGCGCTGGGCCTGAACGAGAAGGGGCCCGTCTTCGGCTTCACCAAGGCAAACGAGCTCTTCGTCGGCAGGATGGCACAGCTCGGCTTCGTGGTGAGTGTGCGCGCCGCCAAAGCATGATTGAGGAATGCGAAGTCGCTCTGTTCTACTTGAGCAAGTCCACTATCGCGATGAAGGGCAGGTCCAAGCCAGGCATCCACAGTAGGGAAGTGGACCCGTCTCATTGTTGCTGAGTCGCTTGCTCACGTACTGCTTCCGAGCAGGTCTATTCACCTCGAGACCTTCTCACTTGAGGCGACAGTGTGGAATGCACCGTTTCCTCCGACAGATTAGTCGTCTCTTGAAGACGAGAGATATAAGCGCCAATCGGAGCTTTCCTGGCATTGCTTACATACATCTCGTTTCTGATCTTCCCCCTCTCGAACGTTCAGGCCTCGCTCCTGGGTGAGCTGCTGACGGGCAAAGGTGCGTTGGCGCAACTGAACATCGAGACTGGCATCCCGCTGAGCGAGATCGACCCTATTTTGGGCTTCTTCATCGTGGCCCTCGGCGTGGCCGCGATCTCGCCCGCCTCTGGCAAGTTCATCACCGACGACGACCTTGAGTAGAAGAGCTACAACGGCAGTTTTGGGCGAGTAGCGTGTTTGAGATTTAGTTTGACAGGGGGCTTTGTAGGTAGTAATGCTCGTGCGTTGATTTGATTTGGATTTGGATTTGGATTTCGTAACTGCACAAGCCGTGCCCAGTTGCCACGCGGGCGGCTGAGATCAGGCTAGATGCCGTACACGCGTAGCCAAGATAAGCTCGAAGAAACTAGAGAGCGCTGACATTGTTTGAACGTTGGACTGTGTTGCCAGCGAAAGGATTCTGAAAATCATAGGTAGTTGTACCAGGTTGTGCGCCACGAAGGAGTCATAGTTATTATGATCGAAATACTGATAAATTGGCGAACCGTTCTGTTGAACAGAGCACGATTAAAGAAGAGGGAGATATTCCACATTCCAAAGACTTGTCCCGAAACCACTGGCACAGCTGTACGTAATGAGAATTTGCTGCAAAGCGTCCAACCACTGAAATGACGTTTTCCAAAATGATCGCTCGAGGAATTGTTCCAAGTATGGAATGTACATATCATGGTGGACGTGGCGGCCAACTCAAAGCTTGCGTCGAACTTCTCGGTCGATCCTGTATATTAGGCTTAGTGTACAATCTGTCAGAATGGTGGCATGTTCTGATCGCTCTTCGAGGCGTGTAACATGTATGGGGGTAACCCGTTTCAGACCTAGCGGGATAGATCAAGTCATACTCCTACACAGGTGCAATCTTTCCTAAGATAATTGATGGTACGTCAGCTTTTCCAGTTGCATACCTTTGATCGACAACCCCTTTTTTGGACCAAAATTTTGGCTTGAAACGGTTGCACGTACAGGGCTAGAGTAATCATCCGATCATCGCCCTCCGGCCCTCGTTCCATAGCAGCCCCTGGGAAAGGCCACGGTGCATTACGGCGACCTCGAAATCCATTCAATCCAACGCGGCCGCCCGAGCGCCAGATTGGCACAGCGCCATATTCCAACAAAGAAAGCTGCCGTCAAATGCAAATGGGCTCCAAATTCCAATATCTCGAGACAAAGCACCCCTTCCGGAACCTGAAATCGAACTTCCGACTGGAACGAGTCGGAAACTGGTAAGGAGAAGGCGTCTCACTGACTCCTTATCTCGATTACTCTCGAGCAGAGGTTAGACGGTCAAAGCAGCGCGCGGCCTGTGTACGGTACGCCCATCTCCGACCGTGTTGATCACCGACCGTACGGGCTCCGCTGCAGTTGCTGCCGAGGCAATCATTGCCGCTTTCAATGCTCGGCCAGTCTACGAAAGAGATTCCCAGCTAGCTAACTCACCATGCATGCTGCAGAGACGCTGCATTATGTCGCATGCAACATGCATGCAGAACTGACTTAGCCTTACCTTATAGGTTGTCTTGCCATCTAGCAAAAGGTCAAAGCTTATGAGAAACATGAGCAACGGTCGCTAGCAGCTGGAAGCCATCTATGACGGAGTCCATGCGTATACGTACCTAATATATACTACTAGGTAGGAAGGGCGCAGTACAGAAGCATGCTAAGGTCACAAGGTTAATGTTGGCCCCAAGCACTTTGGCGCGATCATTGGCTGACTTGAACCGTGATCAATATATAGGCAGGCGCGCTGTGTAACGCTTCACGTCCGACGGACTCTGGTGTTTCGACTCTGCTTGCGTTCTCATTTGAGAGAGTCAAGTCAAAAGCTGCGTATGCGACAATGGCTGTGAGCTGCTGAGTTCTTTCTGCCCAGGATCCTTGCAGAATATGGTACGGTTTTGGAAGGTGCTTAGCTAGCATCTGTCAGACAACCTCAAGATGGGCCGGCAAGCTAGCGCATATGTGGCGCTTATATGGTCACCATCAGCTCATGCAGCTCCCCATCAGATTTTCGTTTGAATGTGATCATGCCCAGCAGTCACCTCCAGCACAAGTAGATATTTAGTTTGGGCAGATTAAGCCCCAAATCACCACGTGTAAGGCACGGCAGGTTAGGAACGAGAAAGCACTATTAACTGGTATGTTGAACCTGGGCATCGTAACAGTCTAAGCTTTGACCCTAGTGCCTGAGCTGGAAGCATGGTCCAGGGTGAAGCAGCGCAGGAGTAGGCCTATGCAGTCTGAGCACCTTTGAGCTGCCACCATGACGTCAGTACAGTCTGCGATGTTGTGTGAACAAATGCAGGATGGCGAGCAAGAAGCGCTGCAGGCGGCACAAAGGGGGGTAAGCAAGCATTGTGAGCCAAGACTTAAAGCGACTGAATGGAACTTTGGGCAGCGCGGCTCGTGAAGTTTGAAGGTCGGATTCCTGATCGAAGTGATTGTATAGCTGGCGTGTGCTCTTGGACTCATGATTGTCTCGATCCAAAATTGTGTTCTTGAAGAGTAACCCACAGATGGCAGTGGTTGAGTAGCCATTTGAAAAGGGAGGGAAGGAAAGGAATCTTGTCAAGGCTTGTCAGTAGCTCGAGCGCAGTCAGAAAGGGTGTTCCTGATTGAGTGAGTCCCGTAGAACTTCTGGTGCGCACGTCTTTTGCCGACCCAATCTGCATACACTCTCTCGTTTGTATTGGCTGGGTCGACAACGTGGAGTTCATTGTGTATATGCTCAGGAGGTTCAGTTCAATAGAGGCCCGAACTTTGTTGTTTTGATCTGGGCTTGAAGTCTTTCCTTAATCATTGCTTGTATGCTTGCTGTCATTTGCCAATTCAGCTGGTTCCGGAGACAAACGAAGATGCAAAGGAATGTTCAGCCAGGAACAGAGCCATTCAAAAGTCTGAACGAGAGCAAGCCCGCTGGCGTGACTGCGATTTCATCTGGAATTACGTTATCCAAGCAATCCTGGACAGTAGCCATTGGTGTACGATGCGATGCCGATTGGGCTCTTTTTCGACATCAAAAGGACGTCAATCTCAGCCGTGGAACATCTCAATCCTTGCCTCTGCCAGGAAGAAGGTGCCCAAACTTCGATAGCGAATGCTCAAAAGGCGCGAGCAAAAGTGCACCCCCTCGAAGCGTCGCAGCAAGATGTCCCAGCACCCATTCGGCGCTGCTTCGCGACTGTCAACCTGGACGCGATTGCGGACAACTTGCGGGTGGTCCGGAAGGTGGCCCCGCGTGCGGCAGTGTGCGCGGTACTCAAGGCCGATGCTTATGGGCACGGAATGGTTCCGGTCGCCAGAACGTTGGTGGCCGGAGGGGCGGAATGGCTGGGCGTGGCACTCGTGGAAGAGGCAATTGAACTCAGGAGAGCGGGGATTGAGACTCCGATCCTCGTTTGGGGGCAGACATACGAGGGGGCCTACGAAATGATGGTGGATTTCGATCTGACGCCGGTGCTGTGCACAGTGGATCAGTTTGAGGCGTTGTCAGCGGCTGTGAGGCCGGGTGCCACGTGGAAGGTCCACGTGGAGGTGGACACGGGGATGGCGCGAGCGGGCGTGCCCTGCCGCGATCTGGCAGCCTTCGTTAAGAGCGTCGCGCGGTTCAAGAACGTCAGCATCGATGGGCTCATGACGCACCCCGCAAACGCGGATAGCCCCAGCGACGGTTTCAACCGGATGCAGCTTCACCGGTGGCGGGAAGCGTTGGAGATCGCCACCTCCTGTGGGCTTAACCTGGCCTGGTTACACTTCGCAAACAGCCCGGGCGCCCTCAGCCTGCCGAAAGCGGGCGCAAACCTGGTACGCTGCGGGTTAGCGCTTTACGGGTTGGATCCTCTAGAGGGTAAACCCTGCCCATTAAAGTTGGCCCCCGCCCTCCGTTGGACTACCGAGGTGGTTGCGGTCCGTACCCTCCCGGCCGGAGAGCCCGTCAGCTATGGGACGGAGTGGTATGCTGACCGCAACAGCCAGATCGCAACGCTGGCGGTTGGTTACGGTGATGGGTATATGCACGCGCTGAGCAACAAAGCGTTATGTGCTGGTGCGCCGGCAGAAAGCACGGCTGGTCGGGACGGTGTGCATGGACTACTGCATGGTTGACGTCACGCACGTGGCTGGGGTGACGCGAGGGGATGAGGTGGTGCTGTTGGGAGAGCAGCAGGGGGCGAGCATCGATGCCGCGGAAGTGGCGGAGTGGGCAGGGACCATCAGCTACGAGATTGTATGTAACATTGGCCGGAGAGTGCCGCGGCGGTACGTCGGGGGCCTACGTTGACAAGTATTCTGGTAAACTGATTGGCCAATATAATCTTAATCATTTAAGCGTCAACGAGAGCGTTAGCAGTTGCAGGCGCAAGATTGAGAGCGTTCACGCGTTCTATCCACTATCTATTGCATAAGGAGGGTTGTCCATTGAAATCGCGCAACCATATGGGAGTACAAGTTGCTTTCTGAGTCTTCAAAGCATTGAGGGGTTTTCCAGACTAATGTCAATCACCTACGGTCTGAGATTTTCAAGTGTGCTATTGAGCTTGGCAATAACATATAATTTCAATACCAGCTCAACAGATCATGAAAGTGTTGGAACCGCAGTCATACTTTCCATCACCATTGAACCTCACGTATTCACGAGTTCTAAGACTAGAAAGCCAAAAAGCAAAGCTTTCAAAGCTCCAAACCCTTTTTCATTGAACAAATCACTGCCTCGAACTGCTTCGACAGCCTAAGCTTGGAATGTAAAGTGTCTGTTTAATGATTTGTGAATAAGTCACATCCACGCTGCCACGCGCGCTGAAGTTTTCTGGCCATGTTCGACTATAGCTCGGGCCAGACTTTGCATATGTGACGTGTATGTGCAGATCAGCAGATGCACAATCAGCCCGCCTGCGGCCCGTCTGGCTTGACCTCGTGCCGCATCATTGACTGGTTAGTATACGCGGTCCCTAATACTGATTCTTCCCTCGTCGTCATGATGCAAAGTTCGGAGCCCGAAAGACTAGTATATGGCACGCCGAGATGAGCGAATGAACTTCTAGCGAGCATCACGGTGCACCTTGTCTGACGTCGAAGTCTCAGTGAGCGAGGAACGTAGTGAAGGTACTGATCTCATACGGTATTCAAGCTCATAGTGGTTCATGGCTGGTCGATCAGAATGGTCCCAGAATGGTTCAACGGTTCGAAATATAGAAGTAAACGTGTGCAATCACCGCGTCTCACCGTCCACGATCGAGCAGGGTTCGTGCACATGACATCATTGAATGCATTTCCGCATGCGAGAAGGAAGCTGCATCACTAGCTAAATGACGAAGTGAAATCCTTCTGATAGATTATATTATTAGATTGCTGTACGCATACAACATTTACACTTTTGAAGAGCTTTCGAACTTCGAGATCAACCAAACGGTGGAAGTAGGTACGTACGTGAGTACGTCAGGATAAAGGCCCTGGCTGAGGGCTCTGTCCTTCCTAAGCTGGCAGTACTGCTAATCAGCTACTAGTGCAGCAGCGTAGTTTTCCTGTATTTTGCGTGCCGATGTGCCAAGCTAGGCTGGCGGCGGCTGAGTCTGCGCGTGCGCGGGGCCCGCCGGCGGCCGCGCACGGCAACTTTGACCGGTACTCGGATATCGCCGGTCCTTTAACACAACTATTCCGTGCCGGCGCCCGCTGACCCCGGGGCACTGCGCGGAGCCGCGCAGGTCTCCCGTGACTCGATCCAGAGCGTCCGATTGAACCTCGGCGCAGGCCCCCCGGGCCGAGCACTCTCGAGTCCGACGCGTTCGATCGAAGTGTCAACGTCCGAATCAAACGACACCAACCTCGTTTAGGGTTTCATGCAAGCTGGCCAGCACAGTGCAATTGGCACAAGCTCAGCACAGAAGTCAGAATGTTGGGCAGCAAGGCGGACACAGCTCTACGCTTTGCAAGGGTCAAAGAGGCAGCTGTGGGAAGCCCAGAATCGAAATGTCCAGCTTAAGTGAGCCACACGCAAAGTGGACAATTGATCAAATTGAGGCCTGTTGAATGCTTTGACTGAGCCTTGGGAGACTGATGAGGTAACTCGAGCGAGCTGTCCAGGGAGCTGGCTTGGGGAGCACTTGGGAGAAGCTCTTGTGAGTCTCGCAGTGCAGCTGCAACTTTGGCAGGGTAAGGTGTGGCTCTCACTGCATGGGGCCGGATGTGTTCCCCATGAATGGGTCAGCTGGGGAGGGGGAGGTGCTGGTCCTGTTCGATGCAGTCAAAAGAGGTGAGCACGCCAATTGCGAGTAGATTGAGTGCTGTGCGCAGCACCTGTATGCTGAGTATACAATGTGCAGCTTGCTCCTTCCTTCAGAAGGTATGCAAGTTGGGGTATCCTACTCCAGTTCCCAAAAAGTACTGAAGCTACTTTGAGACCCAGCAAACATGGCCAAGAGGCCATCATGCTTGTCATACTGCACACAACTTGATACACTGTGGCTTCTAATACATTGCTACTTGTTCCTTGTCCAGAGACATACACACCCACTAGTGGTTTCAAACAACTCTCGCGGCGCTTACGGGGTATCTTCAAAGCTCAGCAGTAAGCCCCTCTCACCTGCCACCGGGATCGGCCTCCAAAGCTAACATACTCTTAGATTCCTGAAAACTGCTTAACGTGGTTCCACCACATGACTAGGACTCATATCAAAAAGATATAGCGTTGAGGAGTGGTCTGCTTTGCTGGAAAAGGACTGCCAAGTGGCTGGGTTGCAGGCGAGTGGTTTTGCAATCAGGTGAATTATCTGGAGGAAAGAGTCCTGAGGCTTTCTTGCGTGCAGGAACAAGGATGAGCTGACGGCGGAGCGACTGGCGGATGCGTCAATCGTGGTCTTTGGGAGCCCGCGCGAGGACTTCTCTGCAACGGAGGCAAGTGCGCTCATGTTCGGCGCGCAAATACCTGAAGCCTGTTGTCCTTGAGAGCCAGGAGCTGGCGTTTGCCAGCCCCAGCCGGTACTGGCCCGTTCCAGATGCTAAGAGCCCTACAGTCGTAAAGTTGCCAGCTCCAGCAGTGCCTGAACAAGGATGAGACAATGTCCCCTGTATGCCCCTTTGCAGTGCTGGCTCCAGCTTCTTTGCTGATCAAAGACCTGCGTAGCTCTTTCTCTCACAGTGTAACATCGCCAGCTGTCTGCACTGTTCATCTACAGGTGGACGTCCTGCACCGCTTTGTTGCGGAGGGCGGCAGCCTGCTGTTTCTGGTGGGGGAGGGCGGCGACGAGCGCGCGGGCAGCGGGGTGAATGCGGTCACAGAGGGGCTGGGCATCGCGGTCAACGCTGACAGCGTGGTGCGCACCGTGTTTCACAAGTACCCCCACCCCAAGGAGGTCCTCATCACCGACGGGCTGCTCAACCGCGCACTTGCCACCGTGAGCCACCCCTGCCGAGCTGCTTCTGCAAGATGGAGAATGTGCAGAACTATGTTGTCAAACCAGAAGTTGGTTGCTGTGCCAGCGTGTTTCAGCTATAAAGTTGCAAATACACGGGTCTTGGAAACAGCAAGATTGTTGCCATTGAATTCTGACGAAAGACAGCATACCACGCAGTCAGCTGTGTGTAATCTTCTCACAATGATTATAAAATTCGGGGTTTCTGACCCAATGTGTGGTCACTTGGCAGGGCGGCGGCAGATCTGGGCGAGGAGGGGAGAGCACTCTAAGCGGGGGGCAGCATGCCAAGTAAGTGTTGCGACCTTGCCCACACTCACCAGTGTCAGATCATGGCAAACTTCAAGCTAGCCTCATCAACTGTTGTCGGTTGGTGTTGTATCGAGACTTTTGCAGCAGGCAGCTTCAGGGCGTAAGCTCCTCTTTGTTGTTGGCAGGTGGCTGAACGAGGGCGGCGTGGACGGCCACGGCCCGAGCGCGAGCGGCGCTCTGCCGCTGGTCTACCCGCAGGGATGCACGCTCACAGTACAACGGCCGGCCGTGCCCATCCTGTCCACCGGCAAGATTGCATACCCAATGCACCGCCCGATTGGTAAGGACGCGCGCGCGCCAAGTTCCCAGTCTGATGCAGTGCAGGAGAGACAGACCTGCCTTTTGTGCGGCTGGTTGAAGCTGGATTTTGACAGGAAGTTGTGGGTTATCTGAGATCGCAAGTTTGGCCATATGCCCTTTTCTTGTGACGAGCCCTCCGCTGGGCTCCGCCCACTCGACAAAAGTCCCTCCTATTGACGTTGTCTTGGCTCCGGTGTGTCTGCGGACTCTGGAAGCGGGTCGACCTACTTCCTGAGTCGGAAAGCGTCTCACCACTCCCTTTCGCCACGTGTCTGCCTCACCGCTTCTGCACGTGCGCTGCGCTGCAGGTGCGGTGTGGCAGGGCCAGGCGGGGCAGGGCCGCGTGGCGGTGCTGGGCAGCGCGCTCATGTTCTCGGACGCGTGGCTGGACAAGGAGGAGAACGGCAAGCTTGCTGACTTCCTCTTCCGCTGGCTCCTGCCCGAGGGCGGACTCGAGGTGCGCGCCACACTTAAGGTCTCTGACTATTTGACTGGCCGGGTGGTCAGTTTTCAAGAACCGTGGCTGCTTTCTAGGCATGCGGCAGGCGAGGGGCCAGGGAGAGACTGGCAAGCCGTTCCAGACGAGCCCTCTAGAGATGCCGCTTTGTTGCAAGGCACATCCGCAGTCACCTTTCGGGGTTTATGAGAGCACGGCTGTTTGCGGCACGTTTGCAGCGGCAAAGCAGGGCCAACAAGGAGCCCGCAGGTCTAAAGAGACCCTTTGCATCTATGTTGAATAAAGAAATTACCATGAAGAGGTGCCCAGTACAAATTCTCGTCCCCTTTTAGCCCGCTGCCGCTTCTCCCGGATTGGGGGGGTGCTCTTGCAGAGGAACTCTCTGTGCGGCTGCCAGGAAGAGGGCGAGGAACGCAAAAAGGTGGAGAACGCACCGGATTCCGGCCGATTCATGATACCCGGCGGAAGTCCCGTGCGTACCGTTCTGTTGCGAGTCTCGTCCTCATCGCGTTCCTCCGTGGCCGCAGCTGCACGCGCGCGACGCGGAGGAGCCCGACGTGTCGGGCGAGGCGGTGTCGCTGCCGGACATGGCGGCGCTGGCGGGGCGTGTGCGCGCGTGCTTGCAGGAGGGCGACGACGTGCCGCGCGACCTGCCCGCGCTCGTGCAGGACCGCCTCTTCGGCCTCGACACCGCGCTCATCCCGGAGGCCACGCAGCTCTACGCCAAGCTCGCCGTCAAGCACGCGCCGCTCACGCTCATCCACCCCAACGTGAGCGGGGCGTCAAATCTTGAGAAGCTGGCGGGGTCCCGGATCCCTGAAGTTCAAGGCGGCCTCGCGACCATTGCTGTCGTCCTCCGACTCGGTCTTACGGTCTTCCCGCTACCAGTCGCCTCACCCGACGGAAACGATCCCCAGTTTTCATGACAGCGGGAAAAAGCTTCTATCTGCTCTTAGTTTCTTTTCTTCAACGCCATTGGGGGCCTTTTGAGTGTTTCGCCGGCTGACTTGGACCGCTGCTCCTCGCTGCCATGCAGTTCGAGACGCCGCTTCCGCCCCTCCAGCCCGCGGTGTTCCCGCCCGCCCTTCACGAGCCTCCCCCCCCAGCTCTCGAACTTTTCGACCTGGACGAGTCCTTTGCGGGCCAGGCCGTGCGGCTAGCATCGCTCACCAACAAGGTGCGGCACCCTCTCGCTGCCTGGCAGTCTGGCCGTTTTGTTTCCACGATTGCATGCTGGGCTGTAGACCGAGTCTGTCGACGGGCCCTGCTCTTCTCCGCTCGTGGTGCTGAACAGTCTCCATGTCTTTTGACAAATTTTCTGTCTCTTCTGTATCTGTGGTGCTTGTTAGCATAAGGGAGTATTGCAATGCGGACGGCGTTCCTGATCGACTTTACGTTTTGCAGTGTCTGGAGGGGACGGAGGAAGATCTGCTTTTCTATGCAATAGAAGGCTCGGCGATCTGCGGCGTAACGCCCAAGGTAAGAGTTGCAAGGAGAACCACGCCTTCCATGGCCTTCTGGTCCGTTATGTGGTGCTGTGACACGACGGCGGGCCGGAAAAGCTTGCATGCTCGCTCATTCAAAATATCGACACCTGCTTCTGTCTGGAAACGAAGTCCCTCAATCTGGTCATGTCGTACATGTGATCTATTCCCAACCCTCAACGCCCACCTCCAACATTGTTCTCCCCTTACTCGTTGCATCAGTTAGTGTGTGACGTGTGCTCATTCATTGCCACGTGGTTGCAGGGAATTGGCGCGTCCGAGGAAGCAAGCGTTCATACAGCCAAGGCGCTCTTGGCGCATATAATGAAGCAACTAGTAACGTACAAAAAACTGACTCCTGGGGAAGCCGGTTGAACACAAGTCTGACAATCTGCTCCTGTCGTCGATTGCCGGGGGGCAGGGGTGGTCGATTCTTCAGGCTTGGGATGTTCGGAGGTCTTTAATCCTGCATGCTGTCCGTCTTTCCATGTAGGCTCAACGGTTGTAAGCGTTGCAAATCGCACATCACTGAGCCTGCAGGCATCCAAAGAGAATCAATAATTGACCTGCAATTATAACATGTGATAACATGCCATGATGGTCAGACCCGTGCATGTGCTCGTCCTAGGCGCTCGATCACCCGAGCTTGTCCAATTACGGAGCGCATGCACGCTACTATATGCCCGGCAGGCCGTTGCTGTAGGGGCCGGCGCTGAACCATATACATAAGAGCGCGGCCAAGCAGCTTAAATTCCAGATCTGGACCCTAAAGAATCCGGCCTGGATACCTATTCAGTGCGTGCGTGACATGGGGCCCGTCAGCCATTGCATGGGATCCGAATTTTGCGCTTTCCGAGTTGAGATGTAGTGGATTCAAAGGCGGCCTCAATTAGCTCATTTGAATAGCCAAGAGTGCGCAGCCGCGGCGCCCGGCCCTCGAGTCTTAAGTCTGCGTCCGATCAACTCGGGCTCGCCGCGCGGATTCAATGAACCATGTAAGAACGCATACCCCCCCCCCCGGTATAGCTACTAATCAAGCACCGTTCAAACGGGCGGGCGCTACATTGAGCTGCGAGTCGGTGCCGCGGCAGCGCCAGGTGCAAGCGACAGCCACTGGCTTGTTCCTTAACAATCTCCTTCTCCGTACGGTACGCGTGAAATGACGGGAGAATCTTGACGGTCACCCTAATTATATATAAAGGGTTATAAAGGGCAATAAGTTGCTGCACATGCGATCGATCGGAGATTGTGAAGAAAAAGGACGACTTAAGCAAAATTGGCCGGGAGGAAGGTTGTGGCCCGTGGGCCATCTAAAACTTTGACGCGAAATGGGTCCAATTAAATCGCGTAATATAAATTCGAGGGATAAAACACAGGCTCGTGCTACTCTCCGCTCTTGGCAATACATATTCTCAATTTAGTCACGGTTCTCAGTCGAAGATTTAACTCTGCTTGCATGCCAGCCTATGCGATCGGACAGCCATCGTACTGATCTAGCTCTGGCAGCGGCTAGGGTGCCCTGGACCTTCTTCTACAAGAATCCCCTTGAATGTCCTGCGGCTATACATGTTAGCGTTGGCAATCAAGGGCGCAATCCGATCGTGGCAAACGTTGCAGGGAAAATCGAGACGGTAGCTTCATGCAAGCTAGACAATCCTGCGCAGGGCCGGCCAGACGAATTCAGAGACTCCATCACAACGCGCTTGGACTAGAGTCCCGTCAGCCTTAGTGCAACCAGAAGCTCAGCGCAGACACCGCTCTGGCAGCCTGTCCCATTGGTTCACCCGGCATAAGACTCCGCTCAGGCCGTGACTCCTTGAACACTTGCTCACAAGGGCAAAGCTTGCCGCCTGAGCAAATCTTGTTGAGTTGTAACATGATGGATTTAGTCCCGACTAGATTGGACAAAGGTAGTATGCAACTAGTCCGGAAAACACAGACCTTACTCTGGCCTGTTGAACAGCATAGGTTCCAAAAACACTTGCCTTACCAGCTCATTCAAACAAGTAACTCGCATTGTCCTGCTGAGGACGCACCCATCTTAAACCACAACCGTCCCCCGCACGTTCTGTACACACGGTTTCCGGCCACTATTGTTGTGCGCCCCGGGGGGCTAGCTGCCGTTGCTGGCGGGCGCGGCCGCGGGACGCGCGAGGCCGACGTTTTGGAGGAGGTCGAAGGCGCCGGTGCCGACCTCGACGACGCGGCCGACGACGATGCGCGCGGAGGGCGACTCCAGGTGGTCCGTCTGGCCCTGCAGCGTGGCGTCCGTCAAGAAGTGGGTCGCCGTCTCGAAGCTCATCTTCAGGAACGGCGACGGGCTGCTCTCGATGCCCAGCCGGTTGCACGGCCTGCAACAGACGAGCGACCACCGCGGGTCAGAGGCACTCCAGAACACGAAGGGCGTCAGCAACAGCCCGACGATCAGAAGGCCCATGCTCCACCACAGAAGGGGCCGCCGAGAATGTCGACCTTCCGCAGGAAATGGGGCAAGCAGGCGGGCGGAGAAAGAGACGCCAGCGGCGTCGATAAGCAATAATGTACACCAGACTCTCTCTATTAGAACATAGGGCAGAGCAATTCGGAAAACAAGCTTGGGGGGCAAGATCCGTCCGGAGCAAACGCCAATGAGGGAGCTCGCGCGGGCAGTCCGGCCGGCGACCCCGCGCGTGGGCGCTGACCTGTAGGCGCCGTGGAAGGTCATGAAGTCGGCGATGAGGCTCAGGTGGCGCTGGTCGACCGCGATGCCGTACGCGCCAAACACCGCCGACACCTCGCTCAGGATCGTCGCGCGCGCAACCTCCACGCCGTACCTGCGGAGTAGCCAGATCCAGCGGCTGGTGTCAACAAGGCGCCGCAAGAACTGGACCCGCTCGAGGTTGCGCTGCCACTTGCTGAACAACAGTCGGCGCGCAACAGAGATCGACAAACCTCAGCCTGCGGTCCGTTCAAAGGAAAGCGCTTGACCGCGCACATTGGCAGACAAGCGTCCGTCATGGTCGCGAGCGGTTGGCCTGCCCGGCCAACGGGCGGCACACACTCACATGCGCAGCATGGCGGTGACGTCGTTGGTAGTGATCCTGTCGACATCCACGACGTCAGCGTAATTCATGACGCCCTCGAAGTTGATGCCGTCCGTTTGTAACCGAATCTGCCCCGCGGAGTCCTCCCCTTCCAGCACGAACGCGCGCGCGATGCCGGGCACGTGCCGCACCTCCACCCCCGCCAACACCTTCTCCACGATCTGCAAACGAGCCGTCGCACGTCAAGCCAAAGCGTGAGCGCTTAACCACTGCCTGGAAAAGCCGCTTCTCAACACCGAAGGCACTCGACACGCAGAGTTTCCAACGGTGCAAGCAACACAAACGCCCTCGTGGCCCCCATGATGGTGCACGATCGCAAGAAGCACGAGGAAGAAGTTGCTCATACGCCCTGAATCGCCAATGTGAAGGGAAGGCAGTCAGGCGGACAGTGAGGTAGCGTCAAAGCGCCATCTTTTAGTTATCTCAGAGTGAAGGGTAAGCCCCTCACGTTGACATTGTTCCGCCGCCTCACCTCGAGCATCATGAGCTTGGGCGAGCCGACCGGCACCGTGATTTCTACACTGCAGCTGTTGTCCCCCGCCGTCACCCTGGCTGCCGCCTCCGCCTCCGTCTCTTTCGCTTTGCCCGCCGCGCCCGTCTTCCCCCGCACTGGCACGACAGCCGTTGATGTATCCTCGCCGTTTTCCCTGTTGCTCGTGGACGGCCGCTCGCCTGCACGGGCAAAGAATACCACCAAGGGTCATGCGAGTGATGCGAACGGCGTCGCTCGACTGTTCAGCTAGTGGTGCCCTCCAGGTGCACAAGTTCCCTTGCGATCTGGCAAAGGTGTTTAATTGGCTCCTAACAGCACCTTGTCGGCGAACCAGTTTACCAGATCCACAATGCTGCTCCAAAATCTGAAGCACCGCTCGTGAGGCATCGCATTCCACGTTTATCGTCAATCGGCCGGGGAACTTTGCAATCAAGGCAGTCAAGGAACATCATAATAGCCATCCCTGAAGAGTTTGCCGCTTTCTCGCGATTGCTAGCATGAGCAGTAAGTCTCGACTTTCCACCCACGAAGAAACTGGGCTTCTTGAGTAGACTTCCGCCTGTCCACAGCGCCCTTTGAACATGTCTCAAAGTTGGCCAAGTTCCAGGTCGCGCGTCCCCTCACCCCCGTCGTCATCCTCCCCCCATCCGAGCCCCTCCTGCTCCTCGGCCTGCCGCCGCGCGCTGTCCGCCATGGCGGCCTCCTCCTCGTCCGGCTCGTCGTAGCTCTTGTTCTGCGTGTGCCGCGCAGTCTCGCGCGCCAAGTCCTCGCCCTCCTCCTCGCCGCCTGTGGCAAAGTGAGCGGCTCGTCAAGTTAAGGCTTGCTTGTTCCTCATGCACAAGAGATAGTCTAGAAGCAGAAATGATCAGGCAGCAGCAACGTCATTAAATGACTAACAATCAAGCAAGCATCCGATTTGCCCAGATAAGCTATCCACACGCTGAAGCTTGGCATATGAGCCCATTCCGTTGACCTACAGGGTAACGACTTTTTAACCCCGTCAAATCCACGAAGTGCTTCATGAAACTTGCTCAAAAAGAAAGACCGTTCTGGCCATACGCTGCTAACATTGTGCGCACCTTCCGGCTCGTCTTCGTCCTGCTCTTTCCTCCTGCCCCGCCTCGCGCCGCCCCCCCCCTCCTCGTCGTCTCCTTCCCCCGCCTGCTCGTCCCCCCCCTTCACCTGCACCGTCCCCAGCGTGCGCGCGCCCTTTTTGTTGGCCGCCTTGATGGCCGCCTTGAGCCGCCCCACGAACCCCTCCCGCACCACGCCTGCCAGCTCCTCCAGGCTCAGCTCCAGCCCCGCGGGGTACTGCTTAGCGGCGTGGAAGCGCAGCGTGATGCGGTACGTGCGGCTGTTCTTGCCCCCCGCGCGCACCAGCGGCCGCTCCCCGACCTCCACTCCCGAACACACCTCCGCCAGCGTCACCCGCGTCAGCCGCCGCGCCAGCGCCTCCGCTTCGCTGCGGGCCACGCCCTTTCTCATGGGTATCGTCATCACGGGCGTCGCAATCTTCGCGGCCGCCGTCATCAGAATCTCTCTTAGCCGGGGGATCCCCAGCGTCACGTTGGCCTCCCCCCGCCCCGCAAAGTGGAACGTGTTGAGCGTCATCTGCGTCGACGGCTCCCCGATGCTCTGCGCGGCCAGCACCCCGACCGGCTCCCCCGGCGCCGCCAGGCTCTGCATGAAGCGCGCCTCCATGGCCCGCCGGAACTCGCCGCGCGCCGCCTTGCCGCGGATGCCCGCCCCCTTGGCGGCGGCGCTCGTCAGGAAGCCATCCAGCGCGTCCCGGAAGCTCTCCGACACTGCGCCGAGCGTGCTGGGGGGGTTGCTGTCCTGGGCCGTCGTCAGCTGCTGCTCGCGCGGGTCGTCCTCCTCGACGCGCGTTCCGGCCGTAGGGTCTGCCTTGGACTTTTTGTGCTTCAACCGCTCCACGCCTGATGAGAGACGACAGATCTGCAATCAGCGGTGCTGTCGAGCTTGGAAGGCCAGAGGTTGCTCAGCCGACTGGCTCCGCTTCGAAACCATAATATCTGGACTAAGTTGCGCAGCATTTTGCTTTGGAAATAGAGATCTGGAGATAGAACAGCCCCGAAAACAGCCTCACTCAGAACCAATCAATGTACCCTGTTCGTTCTACTGGAATCGACCAGCCGTCTCCAGGTATCTTGCGTTGCTCGCGTTTGCAGCGGCGCCGGGCCTGACCTGCGTCGTCAAGGCCGTCGAGGCAGGCCTGCGCGGTGACGGCGTGACGGTTGCGCGCGAGGAAGTCGAGCTTGCGCAGGTGGCTGGTGCGCGTCACGTCGAGGCCGTCCTCGCCGTACAGGAACTGCACGAGGCCGCCGTCGCTGTCTCGCACGCTGTGGTCGTACCCCACCGCCAAACACTCCAGGTTCTTCACCAGGCACCGCTGCAAGTACCCGCTGCGCGACGTCTTCACCGTGGTGTCCACCAGCCTGCTCGGAGAGGACGCTAGAGTCTGAGATTCTGCTAGATAAGCAAGATAAGAAAGCAACAGGCGGCCCCGTGCAGGTCTTTTGAAATCAACGGCGATAGCAATCCTTCGTAGAACTACATGCGGCAATAAAAGTGACATGGAACGAAAGCAAGAATACACTGGGATCAACCATGCAACCCCTGGGAGAGGGAAGCAAGCAGCTGCCGACACTGATATACAAATGCTTGAACTATAAGTGAAGCCGAGCTACATCACCAGAGCTACTGTAAAGCGCAGCTTGGGCCAGGGCAGGCGTGCTCACCCGTCCCTCCCGGCCATGCAATGGAAGTAGTACTCCTGCGGCTTGAGGCCGGTCAGGAAGCGGTCGGCGATGAAGCCGCCTGCGCGCGGCGCTGTGTCGAAGGGCGCAAAGCACGGCAGCGTCTTGCCGCTGGCCATGCGCGGCACGCGGCGGCCCTCCAGCTCCTGCTGCCCCAGCAGAGCGCTGATCTGGCTCGCGTTCACCTGCCAACACAACCACAGGGGCAGGCGCGTCAGCTGACGTCAGCAATAGCAGGACGCGTCGACACGAAGCAAGGCTGCATGCGGCCAGGCCAATGAGCAGATAACTATTCAAGATGTGACGTTCTCAAACCGGGTAATACGGCGCTGACCATGGATCCCTTGGCGCCGGTGACGGTCATGAGGCTCATGGTGTTGTGCGGGAAGGGGCGGCGCTGCCCCCCCGGCAGGCAGTCCTTGATGACGGCGCTGGTGATGGGGTTCAGCGCGCTGGTCATGGCCAGGTCCAGCCGCACGCCCTCCGCCACGCCGCCCGTGCGCAGCCGCACACCCACGCCTTCGCGGATGGCCGCGCCGTCAGCCACCTCCTGGCAGCGCAACGTGTAGGTAAGAACGAGAAGCGATTACGAGCAGATATCCCAGCTTTTGAAACACAACGAATACTGCTTGCCTTTCCAAAAGTGGATTGACAAAATCAGGATTTTTCGCGCTTGTAATCAAAGACTGCTGCCTTGAGCTATAAGTTACGAACTGATGCTCTCCAATCATCTGAATGAACAGGCAAAGGGAGATCGAGTTAGCTCAGAAAGGACAAGAGCTCGTGCTGCGGGCCGAAGATTACCTGGTCCTTGGCCGCGACCCCTCCAAAGGTGGCGTGCACGCGATCGCCCACTTCGTTCTCCGCAGTGCGAATGCGCTCTGCACGGCTGGCCTCGGCCGGGGGGGTGAGCAGCAGGTCGTCGATGCTGCACGTGAAGCCGTGCATCTGGCACACGCACGCGGCAGCGGCGTCAGGGCAGGCGCGGACAGAAGGAGCAGCCCCATCAGGAAAAGAGAGCTGTCACGTAGCGCCAATCATCCGAGCCTCCTAGAAAGCCAGGGCAGATAAACAGACTCAGATGCACCTGAGCCGGTCGCTAGCTCGGGAGTGATCATTCACTTCAGGAGGTAGATCAGCTGCTCCGTCGACCCAAAGAAGATAATCTCTTTACAGCCAATCCCGTCAAAATGTTGATATCAGGGATAAAAGCCACATGGGAAAGGGCCGTTCACCCCCCCCCGCTACCCCCGGTGCCGTACCTGGAGGAAGGCGGTGAAGAGGCGCGAGAGCGCGGAGAGGAGTCGCCCCGCGGCATGCGCGCCGTAGAGCTCCTGCACGGCGTGGACGAGGCCGTACTTGCCGAACTGCGCCTTGTCCAGCACGCCCGCCACCAGCTCGCCCCCCGCCAGCACCACCTCCGTCTCGCCGCTGCTGCGGCCCCAGTAGTCCGCGGGGACCTTGGTGCCAGCGGTCAACGTCAGGGGCGGCTGCCCCGCCGTCAGCTGGTTCAGCAGCGTCGTCACCTGCACGCACCCATGCGGAGCGTGGGAGGCGGACGAGGTACGAGGCGCGAGCAGCATCGGCGGTCGGGAAGCACGCAGGTGGTCCTCCCCCGACTGCTGTAGAACTGCTCCTCTTGAAATACGAATTGGTAGCGCAACATTCCAGACAAGATGGCGTTAGGAACTACTTGCTGGTAGCACCTCATCCGCTTGAGAAAGTCCTCCGGACTTCAGAACGTTGTGGACGACGTCCTGCAATGTTTTTGAGAAAGAATCGACGACCCACCACTTGCTTGCCCGTCCAGAGCGGGCGGGGCCGCACGAGCGCGGGCGGCAGGAGCTTCACGTCGGCCTCGGTGTAGACCTTGTCCACGCACAGCAGCCGCCCGTCCGCAGCGCGCCCCGGCACGGCCACGGTGCGCAGCGGGCCGCAGCCGGCGTACACCAGATGCGCGTACTCAGAGCGAGTCAGGAACGTGTCGCGTGACGTCAGCAAGGCCGCAGCCACGATGTGGTCCTGCGAAGGGAGCACGGGGGGGTCGGGACAGGGAACGTGCTGACTTGGCAGGCAACGAGGACGACTCACGAGTACGACTGTAGAATTGGCAGGAGCGGTCTTGCATTGTAGAATCTACAGACTCCGTGCGGGAGACGTGCATCTCCACTGTCCATGAGGGTGCTTACAACCATGTGGCACTTGACCTCACAAAATCCTCACTTCTCAAAGCTGACAAAAGTAACGACCCTTGTTCAAGTCTGAGATTCAGTACTGCTGGTCGGATCCAACAGCCCCGTTCCCGAACGATGCACTGAGCGCACCTGGATGAGGCCCCTGATGGGCGCGCCGGAGGTGGGCACAATGTACTGTTCATCAGCGGAGACGATGGCGGCGGCCTCGGCGCGGCCGAGCTCGTCTTGCGGGAAGTGCACGTTCATTTCGTCGCCGTCGAAGTCCGCGTTGTAGGTGCTGCAGTTGGCGTAGTGCATGCGCAGCGTCTTCTCCCCGCGCAGCACGCGCGCGCTGTGTGCCATGAGCCCCGGCTTGTGCAGCGTCGGCTGCCGGTTCACCAGCACGCAGTCCCCGTCGCGCAGGTGGCGGTATACTGCCTTGGCCGCCGCACGCCGCCCCTGCATGGCGCCCTCGCGCGCCGCCGACGTGCCCGCGCCCGCGCCCGGCAGCGAAAGCAGCGTCTTCGCGATCGCCGCACGCTGCTGGGCCGTGCGGCCGGCCAGGTTCACCAGCACGCCGCGCTCGTTCTCCACGTGGGTCGCTGCAGGGGCAGAACAAATAGAGCCGGATTGGGATGATAAAAGTCAACGAGGAGGCCTTTATCCAGCCGGCCGGGGTAATCATTGCATTTGGAAGCATGCTGAATGAGGTTTCAATAGACATGGGGGGCGGCGGGTTTGCCTCTGATGCCAGTGAAAGGCGGAGAAATCGAGAAATTTCTAACCGGCAATGTTCCCGCGAGAAGAAGCAAGTTGTGGAAATGTTTGACTGATTGATTTGCCGACTGAATGAATGATTGATTGAGTGATTGATATTTTTCGGAAAAGCTTATCATAGCTTATGAAGTACTTCATACACGTCGTCCGGTGGTTACTGACCACCGTGGCAGTTCCATGTGACAAAGCTGTTGCAACGTGGCAACATCTGAGCCGTCTGAAGTTACAGCGTCACCTTCGGTCTCTCACGTGGTCCGTCGGCAGCTTCGATGAGAAACTAGCGATCTGCGCCGCTCTGCGGGCCCGTCGAAAAGGGGTGGCCTTAAGTGAGTGCGGCTTAAGCGGTTTTACTGTACGTCTTATCATCGAAAGAGGCGCGAATGCGACTAATTTGGTCCAGACCATCAATCTGCTAGCCGCACACGACGTTGTACAGTTCGGAAAATACAGTAAAACTAAGACTTGCCGTTTTACTACGTGAAAAAGAGGCAAGCCAATATGAGAGTGGAAGCAGCCCGTCCCATGATGCTGTCTTGCTGGAAAAGTAAGCCTCGGCGCCTGCAAAGACCTTGGTTACATCTTGTAATCGGACCAGCCGTGCCTGCGTCCAGCCTGTTTTAGATGGCAATTTCAAACGGCTTCTCATCCTCTACAAGGTCGCTCACCTCCCGGGTGCACGTCGGGCCCGTTTTCGACGGCGGCGCGCAGCTGGTCGACGTTCCACTGGGTGACGCTCTCGGGGAAGGTGAGGCGCGTGGCGAAGTACGGCGGGATGCCGATCTCGGCCACGCCGATGTACGGGTCCGGGCTGATGACGCTGCGGCACGCGTAGTTGACGCGCTTGCCCATCATGTTCTTGCGGAACAGGCCCTCCTTCTTCTCCAGCTGCTGCCGGATGCCGGGCGGGCCCGCGGCGCGCGCGCTGGCGGCGGCCGTGCTGTCGAGCAGGCCGCTCACGTTCTGCTGCAGCTCCAGCCACGCCGCCGTCCAGCCCGCCCCCGCGCGCAGCCGCTCCGCGAGTGTCATGTTGGCGGTCAGGATGCGCTGGAGGTGGAAGTTCTGGGGGTGCTCGAACAGCTGCGCAAGCGACCACACGAGGCGAGCGTCAGCTCTTGAGTGCGATGGACACGTTCAGAGGCGTCCAGAGGAGTGGGCTGTTCACAAACAGGGCATGCTCCCTGAGGGCAGGGGGCACGAGCTGCTTGGGCTTCTTCTGCAAGGGCGCCAGCTGTCCACCAGCATTCAGACAAATCTAGTCGCCGTCTCTTTGCGAGCAGCCTGCTGGCTGTGCGGCTGAGCATGGGGGCGGCGCCGTACCACGTCCCCCAGCTTGTTGGTGGGCCGGAACTTGTTGGGCGGCACCAGCAGCGCCTGCAGGAACAGCGCGTCCGCCTCGTTGCCACGCCGCGCCGCACGCTCGCCGGCACGTGACCGCGCCACCGGCCCAGCCTCTGCACGGCACACAAGGGGACATAATGAGAAAAAGGACGTAAAGGCTCAGTGCAGGTATGGAGCCTTGTATGAGATCGTGTCTATCTTGCAAATACGACCCCTCACATTCATTTGTAAATTGAGTTTCTAAAGTCAAGCATCTGATCGACGTCCCGTGGAAACTTCGATACTTCAAATCGGCCAAGGCCTGCATATCGTACTGCAACCGCGACCACCAACTGATAGTTTGTTGACGGGGATGGATAACTTGCGTGAAAAGGTCCACGGATTACGCTTTCTAATGATCCAGCGCACTGAACACCAATTTCAGCAAGAAACGCAGTGCGAGGCAAGAGGAAAGGGTTAACTAAGGCAGATGGGCGCAGCACGGGCTAACCTGCCGCCCAGATGAGTCGCAGCAGGGGCCCCTCGCTGTCCCACAGCCGCCGCAAGTGCTCGCGCACCTCCACGGACGTCAGGAACTGCGGCCGCCGCTTCCCTGCAAGCAGCCGGACACAGAAATGTGTCGGAAGTGGGAGAGGGGAAGGAAAACGGAATGGGACCCAGCACCAAACCTTGTTGCAGGCACGAAACGACGAAGTGATTTATTGATCATTTGGAGCAGGAAGAGCATGACTTGTCCAAGTAGGTCGCCACTCTTTTGTCAGCAGTGCGATAAAAACGAATTATCTATCTTCTTGCAAACGGGAAATACGAGGTTAAAAACAAGGATTTCCGTTCTGAATCTCCACCGAAAGCCGCGAATTGTGCAGCTTGTTAAACATGAAAGTCTTGCGTAGCACCTTTGTCCGGAGTCGCCTTAGGGGCCGGCGCGGCGAGTGGGAGCGCCCCCTCCTCGTCGCTGTCTCCCTCCACCGCCTGCGCACCCGCTGTGTCCTCCATGGTCACATCCACAGGCGCGGCCCCCTCCAGCACGCTGCGCAGATGGATGCCCAGCACTGCATTGGCGCGCTCCGCCTTGGGCGCCAGCGGCATCTGCCAGCCAGGACAGCAGAACGATCAGGGCTCCCGAATTCACTTTGAGAGCATGGCTGCACTGTTTCAAAAACCCACAGAACTGGGAAACCTTCCTCCCTTGCTAGCATGATATGTGAGCGTGATGGAGCCCCGAAAAAAGGCTGAGGTCAAGCCAAGTGTTGTGGCACCCCAGCTCGACCTGAGCTCACACAGTGCAGCACGCAGGCCAAAACAACCGGCGCGCAATCTGATCGGCCCACTCAGAAGGGTGCCCTGAGTACCTGCGGCAGTGGTTCATTCCGCTTTCTGATCAACACCAGGTCCCGAAGGACAGGGGGTCGGCATTGGGTGCGCACCTGGAAGATCTTGTTCTTGCCCTCCACCTTGAGTGCGGGCGCGCTCGCGCTGCAGTTGTCGCACTTGGCCTTGGGCACCTTCTCCAAAAATTCGCGCACAACATCACGGGCCGCCGCCAGGCAATGCGACGTCCATCGCACTGCCGGCACATCCACCGCGGGCGCGTCCTGCAGCACCAGCGCACTGCTGACCCCGGGCAGTGGGGGCGTGTCCTCCACAGATTCCCCTTCCATTTCGTCGCCCTTCTTCTTCTTAGCGCTGTTGTCTGCGCTGCCGTAGATGTCAGCCAGGGTCAGCGCCTCCTTGAGCCGCCCTGCCGCAATGAGGTGCAGCCGCTGCGAGAACTGCGCTACCTGCAGCGGGGGCCGCAGGCCAGCAGCACCAGTGAGCAGTAGGCACCCGCCAAGAGGAGCCCCAGGCACCAAGCCAGGCAAAGTAGTGCACCGGGGGTCTCCAATTCAAGGACTCTCCATCAAAATTTTCCACTCAGTATTTGCATCGTTTTGACTGAAGAACCAGTCTCCCAGCTTGGACACACATCAGCCCCTTCACAATCTTTTGGCTTGCCTTGAGGTCCCGCCGTGAGAGCGAGTGGATCAATAGAGCAACACTGGTCCATAAATAACGCGTTTCGCATCTATAGGGGTTGTCACATGGCCTCATAAGGCACGGCTCGGGCTGCTCACCCGCTTGGCATCCATCTTGAAGTGGTGGCAGTGGAGGCAGGTGGCACGCAGCAGCTTGTAGAGCACGGGGAACACAAGCGGGTGGTACACCGGCACCGCCAGCGCAATGTGCCCAAAGTGGCCGGGGCACTCGTAGTAGCCCAGCCCACATGTTGCGCAGCTGGCGCAGCACACAGCGCGCATCAGGACAAGGCAGGATAGGAACAAGAGACCGGGGCACTTACAGAAGGCAATGCTGGCAGCTCAAACTTGACTCACAGTACTGTGCCACGTGACTGCTACTGTCCAATGAGCGCTCCTTTGGGCCCTCACATGGAGCATCATACACGACATCTGGGCCTTAGGGAGGTGGGTGCCTGCAATTGCGCCAGCAGCTCTTCCTGCTCTGCCACGCAAGCAGTCTCACTCCTTCGGGCTGCCCTTACCTGCCCTTGGCATCCAGCGGGCCAAGCGCCGCGTCGTAGAGGCCATCTGCAGCGGGGTGCCGCAGGTTGTCAAACAGGACGGGCGACGTGATCTGCTTCACGCTGATGGCGCGCACCTCCTCCTCAGTGTAGAATCCAAATGCGACGGCCGTAATCTGCTTTGCGACCGCTTCGGGGCGGCCCTGTAGCTTGGACATGGCGCCTGCAGCGCGCAGGCGATCAGAGAGGCAGCAATCAGCTCACCAGGGGCTGGCGCTGCACAGGGGCGGAAGCCATTGATGATTGAACACCCAGCTGGCCGCCACCACTTCCATCAAAAGGTTCAATTTCAAGATCTTTAGTATTACTTTAACAATGTTTCTCACCACCCACAATCACCGTCTCATCAAACAGGGAACCGGTTGTACCAACTTCCGGCTCTGTGATCAGAGTTTAAGTACGCCGTTACCAAGCTGCAATTACCGTTACCGTTTTGGAAGTCGGATAGTTTCAAGGTCAAATCCGAGTGATTAATATTCACGTCGATTGTTGCTGTCCAGGCATTTCGAAGAACTTCAAGCTTCAACTTCAAGTTGAACTTCTTGAACGAAGAGAGCGCCTTCTGAAGGAATCTTGAGCGCCAGCTTGCATCGAGCCCTTGCAAACGATAGCTCACCTCTTCATGACACATCTTATACCCATGTAGGTAATTTCAATTCGGGGCTCATTCCAGTGAGAAGGACGCATTAAGAAGGATTTTAGGTGCGGTCAAACATTGGGCTTGGTGGGACTGCACGTTTGGCATTGAAGTCCTCGCTGAGGTGAACTCCAGCAGGATTCTCTGAAGCTGCCAGATTTGGCAGCTCTCTCCACTTACATCAGGCCCGGGGCGGCTCTTGCGGGCGCCGGTCAGCTGCTGCCGGTGGGCATGGCGGCGCGGGCGGGCAAGCCGGTGAACCGCATCATCCGCTTGATAGTGGGCGCGGGGCAGGCCAAGCCCGCGCCGCCGGTGGGGCCCGCACTGGGGGCGCACAAGATCAACCTGATGGCCTTCTGCAAGGACTTCAACGCAAGGACAGCCAAGCTGAAGCCGGACGTGCCCATGGCGGTCAGCCTGACAGCATACAAGGTGAGACCGGCACAATTGATGACAGCATTGGTTTGTCTGGTCCATCAAGAGTTCCAAGGCCCTGCTTAACTTAGAGGGCAGGCGTGCGTGATAAGCATGAGCCTACTGTACTTTTGCAGCATGAGATTTCGGGCCATGCATTTGTGGTCGCTGACATGTCAACAAAGTGCCAAACAAGCTGGAGAGTCCCGATACTATACTTTTCAAACGATACAACTCTTTTCAAACAAGGACACTTGCTTGCAGTGGTCCGCTTCAACACCATTGAACTCTTCTGCAACCAGAGCAACTATTGCGCCGCCCACGAGCTAAGAAGACTCCCACATATTGAAACGCTGTGGATCACTTTCTTGATGAGAAGGAATTGTACTTCAATCTGGCGGCCCTCACAAAATGAGCGACCTTTGCGTTTTCTCCAGGACGGGTCGTTTGACTACGAGTTACGGTCGCCGTCGGTGTCGTGGTTCCTGAAGCAGGCTGCGGGGCTGGAAAAGGGCAGCGGGCGCGCGGGGCACGAGGCGGTGGCGGCAGTGAGCGCCAAGGACATCTACGAGATTGCGTGCATCAAGCAGGGCGACCCCAACCAGGCCTACATCCCCCTCGACAGAATAGCGGACAGCATCATGGGCACCGCGCGCTCCATGGGAATAGACGTACAAACAGGGGACGGCACGTGATCGGAGGTATTGCCGTCTACAAACTGAAGACAAACGTCTCTGTATACAAGAAAGGAAAACAACCGGTCCGATTTAGTACTGTTTGTGAATGCAGGCTTACCCTGAGGCCGACATTCTTCAATATCTACTTGATGATTAGGTGAGGCTTTCAACTTTCAAAATCATTTCCAAGCTTGACTTGACAGCTGCCCCTAGCTGAATCAACCTTTATATTGCAAGTGCCATCGAGGGTCGGCCACTCAACTGCATATGTATCATGTCAAGTCTAATACCAATGTGCCATTGAGTGTTCAAAGGTGGCCGGCGGCCCAGCCATCAATGATGGCATTGAAGAATCATTCAATTGCCTACCGTATGCATGTATGACTATTTGGTAAGATCTGGAGCGCTGCCATCCTGGCTCACTGTTCAATGGTACGTCACGCTTTGAGATCGTCGCACTGCGTGACCCGCGAGCTGAGTGCCAGCCCGCCGCAGACCGTCTATAGGCGGTGCGGCCCGCGGGTAGCGTCCATGGTAGCGCTCAGAAGTCGGGACTGCTAAGTATGCCATGCGCATACATGTATGATAACTTGGCATGTTTATTGAGATCGTGCGTAATCTACGTTCTTGCGCAATAATCACGCATGCCATGGCCCTGCCGCCACATGACAATCATGCAAAAATCATGCATGTGGCGCGGCAACTGATCGGCCGAGCATGAATCCGTTTTGATCATGCATGTTGGCGCTGGCCTACGCGTGTGCGGCCGCCCATATAGTATGCATACATTGACTCAAAAGTCTACTTAACTAAAAACAATGCAGTATACGTGATCGCGTTCAGATATCTTAATGACCGTCTGCAACCATTTAGCTATGGACATGTCGAGTCCGGACGTCGCCGTCCCCTAGCCACACACGGACTCGGACCGCCAAACGCCTGCACATATCATGATGACCGCGGCAAGATGATACAATCAATTCTTTCCTTCTCGAACAATCAATCGCGACGGTCTTATAGTTCATAATTGCATGGAAATATCAATATACCGGTATGCTTCCGCGTTAGTATCCGCTGCAGTGCTGAAACATTAAGCATCAGACTCAACCTAACTAATTAGGTCCTGTGCGCAATTAATTAGTCCATGGTCTCTCGAGATCACCACCCATGGCTGGGTGTCTTGATTCGCTCAATCATGCAGCCGCATGCAAGATTCATTACCATGGTCGTTCGAGCCTGAATGGACGTACGCAGCATTTATCTCGAAACATGAGATATGTTCACAGGCCGCACATGCAACTTTTGCCAGATGATCAAAATGATAGGCCGATGTCGGCCCTGGCTAATTTACGCGAAAGCATTCACTGGCCGGCTCCATGAATAGCCCGGGCCTTCCGCAGATCCAGGGTCACAAAGATCATTCATAGTCTCATGTTTGCCAATTGATCGATTAGAACCACAACGTTATAAATAGATGCACGTACCGGCGTACACATATATATACTTGGAGCTCCAATCCGCCCCTGGCTTTACTCAAGAGGCCTAGCACTTAATTGTCACGTGTGCAAAGGGAGGCCGCATTTATCTTTAGGGCCAGCCTAAACGTTCTGATCGATTGGACATCTACATATAGGCAAGCCTGTAATTGTGATCAATAATCAGTGGACTCACACGGCGAGCTTGGCTCGACGACCAAAAATGACTACTGCGAGTCCTGCCCTTCTAGCCTACTCTTAGCGGAATTAGAAGCCTGCATGGTCAACCTGAGTCTTTCATCACAACACGCTGTAATACTAAGTTGTTGTTTGACTAATCAAACAGTGCCCCCTGTTCAGACGAAGTCGTTTAGTAAAGTGCTTCCCGCTCTGGTCGGAATCGCCCAAAAATATTCAATGTGTCTATAACCGTCGATGTCAGGGTGCCTGCTAATCAAACACAAGATAGACCAGGGCTTTTGAGTCACTACGTTCATATGCTGCAGTATATGTACACTGGATCCAAGGTCCTTGTCGGGGGCCCCGTGAAACACCCGCAAACCTCCCGGCCGCCTCCTGCCACGCGCCCCGGCACCGCTTACTTTTGCTCGTAGAGGAAGCCCCCGAAGATGTTGTTGTTGCCTGCCAGCCGGGCCTTGTTGCTCGCAAACGCCTGCACGCCGGGCTCGCAAGTCAGCCCTGGACGAGACGTGCTCCAAATCAGAAGCATGACATCGAACAAGGCGATGCTTTGCCAGCCAGCAGTTTGCGTGCGCGCACCGTTGCGTCCTCACCTGGGCGTTCTCTTGGACAGTGACGGAGAACGTCTCACTCCTGCCGCCCAGAGTGCTCCGTTGCTCCGCTCGACTGGCAATCTGGACAGCCCAATCACTGCATCAGCCATTCTCGCATCTTGATGCCCACGTGTCCATAGTCGCAAGGCTTCTCAAGATAGGCACCCAAAAGGCTTCATGCGTTCAAACAAACTTTGATAGAAGCACGCGCGTCAAGCTGGACGTCCAGCCAGGACGGCGAGCATCAAGCGCGCGGCGCGATGGCTGCGCGTACCATTCGGTCCCGCGGCGAGATGCCTTCGGGCGCCTTGTGCGCAAACACCTCCGACACGTGGTCCCGCGCCGCCGCACTCTGTGGCCGCGCGGTGCGGGGCGTGCCCTCGCCCGCCCCCTGCGCGTCGCCGTAGCCCATGGTGCGCGCGGCGGTGCTCTGCCGCAGCGCGGGGTTGGCCTCCCCGGTGGCCATGCACCGCGTGCGGGGAGAGGCCTGCCCAACGATCGCGTCCCGCCACGTGCACACCTGCACATCAACGAGGCAGCCCGCCGTCAGCTGGCCGGGCCGCGACCTCGACGAATGCGGAAATGCGGGCTATGCAAACGAGCGTGCTAAAGTTGTTTACATCCAGAGCCGCCTTGCACATGCAATGGTTACAAAACATCCGTATAGATGATACTGGTCTCACGTCGCTCGGGCTTTTTTGAGGAGATCTGCCTCCTGCTTAGCAGACCTGTCAGCTTGGGCATCGTATCTGCTCAAAATCAATCTCGAAAGACTGAGGACGAGACTCTAAACCAATTCATCTGTAAAGCACGGCCCTCCGTGCAGCTTGCGTTCAGACCGCAATGGGCAGGTGTTTGCCGTTGTCAACGTCGGTCGGTCATGGGGCCTCACCGTGCCCGCCTCGATGTGCGAGGTGCCGGAGTACTCGGTCCTCTTGATCTGCGGCTTGAACGTCGCGGACTCGACGCCCTGGTAGCCTGCACCCACCGAGACAAGCCCGATATGTCAAGCACTTCGAACTGAAGAGCTCGGCTGTATGCGCGTTTCAGGAGGTAGCTCCGAACTCGAGAAGCGGTGTCTCTTGTCGCGATCTTTGTACATCATCTGTAGCACAGCGTCGTGGTTCTGGATTCATGACGCCTCATGTTGGGTTGCAGTACTCCTGTCCACCTCCCAGCCCATCTCGCTCGTTTTAGCAGACAAGAATCATCGGACGCTCACCGTACTGTCCGAGCGGGTCGCGCTTCTTATTGAGGTGGCTGTACTCGCTGAGCTGCTTGCTGCGCACGGGGGCCTCCTCCCGGTTGTCCTGCGGCCGGTCCGCCACCTGCTTCGGGCCCCGGGGCTTGTCACCGCGCGGGGTCGGAGAGCCTGATAGACGACAACGGATAATGAGGTGGTGGGCGAAGCGGACCGGCCGAGAGCACGGTCAGCGGGAGCACCGTTCTTGGGACGGCGCGTGCCAGTGACGCCTGAAACGAGAGCAACGCGAGCTTGCGCACATTGACTTCACACGAAGTATATCAGTTGTCTCAGAGTGCGGCCCCCAGGACATCTACGGGGGCCCAGATGCGGTCTTTCGTTGCAGCATGGACTAAAGCGGGCATAGTCGATGCTGCTCGTTTCTTACCTGCGAGGTCGTTGGAGGGCGGCGGCGCGGGCTTCCTCATGGGCTTCGCCTGCTCGGAGGAGGACGCCCCAAACTCCAGGGTACTGCCAGAAGCAGGCACGCTGGGCACAGCTTTGCGATGGATCCGGTTCTGCATGCCATGCGCGTGCTCTTAGACTCTTGGAACGAGCAGCACACGGACAAATTTGGGGTAGGACCCGCCGACTTGCGGTCAGGTCATCGAACCATGAAACATAAGCACAAAGAAACCGCTTTGACAAAGTTTTGAAGCAATTTAGACGCACCTCTATAGCTTTGCTGGCCTCTTCCCTTTCAGGAAAGAGTGATGCCCCCACGCAAACGCACATCAGCTTGCCCGCTGATTGACGGTTAATCTTTGGCAGCCCCACCCACGCCCCCTTGCCGCCCTTGTCTGCTCACCTGTCCTGAGAGGGCGACGTTTCCTCCCGCCCCGTGCACGGTGAGCAGGTGGGTGGGGCGGTCGCCCGGAGTGCCCACAATGGGGCTCGGCGACGCAGGGGCACGGCCCGCGCGGCTCGACCGCCACTGATGCTCAGGGCTGGTAGCAGGAGGGGTGAAGGAGCGGACCGACGAACGGAACTGATGGAAGAAGCAGCAAGTGATACAAATATCAGCGTCAAGGGTTGTTGATTTCTGGAAGAGGGGCACCAGGCCTCCAGAGCTTTGACTCTGCTCTGTAGCTTCAACATGTGCCTCTTTTAAGTGTGGAGACACTAGGGAAGACGGCTGGGCCTTGCTGACCAGAAGGAAGGCTGATAGGCTGCTGTACGAGCTGATGGGGTTCCCTCCAACTTTCAGAATGACCGCTCTTCTGGCAATGAGCCAATGGAGAGGTTTGATGCAAGTTCAAGCTGCATGATGGCACAACCAACCCCGATTGTGGACACTGTGTGCCATGCTGTGCACCACTGCACGTGTTCATCAGAAAGGCATGCAATTTTCAAAGGAAGTGGCAGCCCTTTTGTTCCTCCGACAGGAAAATCGGAAGCGACCAGCCATCACCGAAAGATCACTGCTGGCCTTGCGACGATGCATGCTACTTTTCTATAAACTTTTAACTTTCATTTCTGTATTGAGGGCCCATCCTAAATCGTTCTCGTGCGACTCACCGGTGAATCAATCCCCTCAACAATCGGGTTGCGTGCGGGTGTGCTTGAGGGCGTCCTAATCTTTTGTGTGGCTGGGCTGTTGGTGGCGCTCGGGTTATCATTCCAGGACAGATCGATCTGGAGCGCGGGTGGCCCCGACCCTCGTGGCGTCTTCCCCAGCAACCGCCCGCTGGCCGGCGCCGTGGACGGCCGCTGCCCGTCCGGCTGCACCCACTCGCCGCGCGCCATGCCCGCGGATATGCGCCGCACACTATTGCTCACAGACAAAGCTGGCCGGCCCACTGCCTTTCCAAACCCTTCAAGTGTGGGCGTTGAGAATGGTATAAGTGTCCAAGGCTGACTTTTGCTTGCCAACCACGAAAACCCTGCAAGGGACGCGACCACGTTCCTTCAGCAAACCTGTCTTCAGTGCTTCTCATCTGAGGGCCCCAATGCAATGCAATGCTGGCTGCAAGACAACGAACCCACATTGACAGTGCTTACAGTGCTGCAGTCATCTGATTGTAGGTTTTTGAATCTAAAAGACTGCCTGGTAATATGTTTGGTGACAAGCCTTTTGGTTCACGCTGTTCGAGTTCAATGACCTGCCAGGAAAGGTGCGGATGGCATTGGAGCAGCAGTCAACGCTCCAGATACTTGAGTGCCCTACCCGGTACGGCCTGCTGATCTGAGACTTGTGGAGAAATGCTGCATTAAACATTTAGCATTTCGCTACCATCTCTCGCCTTTGCGCACTTGGTCAACGTCATTGTGTTTGTAGTCAGCGCCGTGCGAACCTACTGAATCTCCATTGACATGAGCAGGCTTTCCAGGACCTTGCCGCATTGCAACGTAAATTAAAGTCAGCTGCGCAAGATTTCCACTGGAAGGCCGCAGCGCCAACAGCAGCCTGAGGGGGGCGGCACATGCACAACCCACCCTGGCAGATTACATTGCTTGAAGTTATATGCAAAATCTCCTAACATGTTAGAGTTGTCAAATTTTGAAAGCTGCGGCTTCCCTCATGCATTCCAAGCTCAAGTGTACGTACAGGGATTCAGAGTCTGCTTCGACTTCAGGCTCAGACTAATAGGTACACCGTACAGCACTAAATACGGTGGTTCAACTGCCGTCAGACCTGGCGGATAGAGTGGCACGCGATCGAACGGTGCATAGCCCCGTATGCACTTTCACTGACCGTCAGATGTAATACTAGGGTCCTAAACATGAATGTACACACCCTTCCATGTTTGTCCCCGAGCCTGCCGAGGCTGTCACGGTAGTGCTCAGTGTGTCCTAGGCTGTAGCCTCGTGTTCAGCGAGCGCAGAAGTCAGCGACAGGTGAAATTATAAGGGTCCTCCAAGGGGCTCGTCTCAATCATCAATCTCCATGCATGGGTCTCCTGAAGACGTGAAGGCAGCGCTATACAAGCAGCGAAGCCTTGAAGAACCCTTTTGAAGCTTAGAGTCGGGACAAATACTTGCTTTTTATCCATGGGTTAGCTGTGGCGCCTGCAAGTTTTGGACGGCGTGAGTTTCATGCGGCAGCGGCCCATGTCCTCTGAGATTGCAATCTCGCCCCAAGAGAGGGAATGCTGCTATGGACCCCAGCGGTAACCTAGACTACCTGGACACACAAGGTGACTCCTGCTCGCTACCTATGAGAGTATGCAGCTTTGGTCAACTTTGTGGTACAACCTACAATGGTCAGTGGAATGTGAGGATCGTGAACTGAGATGACGCGCACTTGTAGTAAGGTCTGTGTATCCATCAGGAGTTGCTCTGGACCACTTGGTGTTCCAGTCAGCACACTTTCTAATTATATGATTTCGTTGATGGTGGGGTGGTGCAGGCGGCAGCTTGTTGTAGTTGCTCTTCCAGCAGCATCACTCGATTCCACTTTCTGCCATGGGATAGTACGTGAATTTTGCTTTGAAACGTCAAAAATGCAGTTGTTCTGGGCATCAGACTGCCCACCACCAAACTGCAGAACTGCTCTATTGCAAGCAAGGTTGGACAATGTAGACAAAGCTCTTAAGGGACATGTAATCCAGTCTCTATCACCCTGCACCTTGGCTTGAAATCCTTTTGGCAGATGCAGAATTGGTGAACAAGGCACTTCTTACAAGGTCAACCCTTGATTCACTAGCAGCATGGTCAACGGGCAACGCCTGCATGCCAATCAGGTCCATCGGAAGGTCCAGAGCAAATTGCTGCCCTGCTTGCTGCATCCTGCCTGACGTGTTTCGCCCTCGGCCCCTGTTGCAGAGCAGGAGGAGATCATTGCGTCACTGGAGAGGAGTAATGCTGTTCAAAACCGCGTGTGGCGGGGGGTGTTCAGCCTCCTGGGTGCTGGGCTGGCGCTCTTCTTCTTGCGCTCTGCCGCACTGCAAGCGCGCGCGCCGTGGGAAAGGGTGAGCCGGCTGCCCCCAGAAGGGGATCCCCCAGTGATGGAGCACTGGCATGGAGCTGGGCTGTGCCAGAAATGTGGGCTGTCACAAGCATGATCTCGAGCGACGGCTCCGTTGCGTGCCAGTTGCGGCAGCCTGGTGCTGTTGGCTGCGAGAAGTGACCCCCGGTGTGCGTGGTGCTGCAGCAGTACCATGCCCACTTCGCAGGAGTCTTGTCGCAGGGGACCACCGTGGTCGCAGGTGAGTGTGCGGAGTACACTCAACAAAGCAGGCTGTCGGACGGTTGGCTTGGGGCAGGCGGGCCTGCTGGTGAACCAACATGAGGGCTTCAGAATATTTTCTGCTTTTGTGTTTCCTCACGCGTCAACAAGTGTTGTTCTTAAATGATGTGCAGTCAATATATTGTGTACTTTGAGGAACTAGCTGACAGCAAACTTGCATCGATCGCCTCATGAAAGCAAAGAGAGCCTGGAATCAGCTCCACAACCCGCATGTCACGGCAGCAGGTTCTCGTATCCTAGGGCCGCATAGCACCTGTTGGTGTCAACGTGCAGACGTATCCACTGCTGGGGCCATTCTGTGTGGCGGCCTAGTGCTGCATGCTGGCAGTCGGGCCGTCCTGCACCGCGCGCTCGTGGCTGCCACCCTGCTGCTCAGCCTGGCCACCGCGGCCTTCTGGCTGGGGGCCCTGCGGTGAGGGGTGTAGGACAGGGGAGTGATGGGCCGGGCATGTGGGCCTCCTACCTCTATCCACTGTGCTGCCATCTATCGCTGCTGTCTTCACGATGTCTGGTTTGTCCATAAGGAGCGAAGCCAACGAGCTAGTGGCTGCCATGCTGATGCAATATGTGCTGACTCTTTCTGCCCATGCTCGAAGGACTGTGGGAAGCTGGCGCAACTTCTGGCTGACGATGTCCCCACTGTAAGTTTGCAGTCTTGCAGAGTGAGAACCCTGTTGCACAAATCTGCCAGGGCATGTTCGCTGTACATGGTGTCCTCGATTTTAACCAATCTACCAGGGAATTGTTGTTGAGGGTGGGCACTTTGAGACGAATGCGACCAGCCTCTACAGGGCCTCTACAGTGTTGAGACGTCAAGTAGCATCAACTCTGATCTGATCAAAGGATGCTTCAGGTGAGTGAGTTGATTTTTCAAGTCCGTCTACATGCCAAGTGCTAGCTTTGTCTTGCGAATGTGTACGTGCCAATGACGAGTGTCCCTTGCTGTACAGGTTCGGAATTCTTTGCTTGTATGTAGACCACTCACTCCAAAGCACAACATTACAGATCAATAGGTTGCGAGCCTCCAAGTATCGCTTCAAGAAAGCATGATAGACACTTGACTTTGTGCAGCGCCAAATTGCAACCAGAAAGTCATGTTAGATTCAATGATTTGTAACTTTGCGTAGCTTTACCTATCACAACATTTGATAATAGATGGTGGTGCAAGCAATGGAGCCCGGCCTAGCTGTCTTCAACAGGCTCAGGCTGCTCTCACAACTGTCGTGAGCCCAAAGACTTTTCACGAGACTTTGAACAAACTACATTGTTGCGTGAATATCATTGCGAAGCGCGCCGCCCATCATCCATCATCTGCATAAATCGCATGTATGAGAAATCATAAAGGCATGCTGTCAGGCTATATATGAGTTGCATGGATATTTTGACTCTGGCAAGCCCTGATACACTGGCAACTATCGGTCGTATATTTTTTGAGAAAAAGTAATATTGTATAGTGATCGCTAATTCTATCTGACGCGCGGACGTACCATTTCATCAGCAACACATTATGATTGCTCATGGCCTATATAAGTTCAGTCTCCAGATATCTAAATACCCGCACACGTATATGTTTGAACATGAAGGCGAAGGATATGGCCGTCTAGGAATAGATTAAATAAGTTGCTAGGGCCCGATCCGTTGCGAGCTATATGTAGCTCTTAAATTAAGTAGTAGCTTGGGCGCACCTTGGCCGCGCTGGTACATCAGTGCATCGATTGATAGCTGCACGCAATTAAGTGATTGCATATATGTAGTTCGTTTGTGATATATGTGCGCGGTCAGTATAGCTAGAGGGCCCCTATACATCATACATTGCACTTCCTAAAAGACGGTTCGTTGGAAATCACAGTAATTTTTGCATGTTTGGTTGAACTTTCGTCGCATTTCGCAGTTGCATGGCGAAGTCGACAATTATATCTAGCTTTTCTATAACATGCATGCGCTATAGTTAGGAAATTAGCTCGATCTATACTAATATTCCTCAAAGCTAGCTACATATCATTGCATAGTAGATGCGCATAAGTAGATTGAACAACTACCTATTGTCATATATACCATTATGATTCCGCCCGAAGTTTGCGCTCTCCCGACTACCCGGCCTTGTGAGTGTGCACTAATGGTGCACGTGAGGTGCACGTACAGTCCGGATAGGTATTTGGATGAGCCCCGGGGCCGCCTAGGACTCGCCGCCTAAATTAGGCCGCCCGATAAGCTGCTGAGTCGTCGATCATGCAAGGCATGAATCGATCAAAGGATTCTAAGGATTCAGAACGGCTACAACACTGATATTTCAAAACTAATTTCACAAATTTGTTACATAAACTCAATTTGTGACGGTTGGACAGGGTCACACGCTGCCTGTCTACTTCACATGTGCGGAAACCATGCGAAGCTTCTCAGCACGCCTTGGGATCACCTCAGCAAGAGTGTAACGATTACGACTGGTT